AAAAAAAAAAAACATTAAATAAACTCAATCTGTGAATGTACACTGTTGCTTTCCCGCCATTTTAGCAGCGCGCAAGCGCTGCCTACTGACTGGCGCCGCGCGGCGGTTAGTTCGAAATTTGAATAGCAACAGCGCGCGAAATGGTTAATAATACTATTATGAAATTTATAACTTAACTATTTGCTTTGGTAACACACGTGTTTTATATGACCCGCTTTACATATTTAAAACCGGTGGAATTACATCAGCTTTACGAGCAAAGGTGTTAAAAATTATTTTACATTATTATGAACAGCTTCGTTTTGTGCAAAATGTCTAAATCTTTGGAACATTTGTTGTATGCAGAATAATTTCATTTACAGCTTCTATGAATTAGAATTACCTTTTAGTAATATTGTTTTCCGTCTGGTCCTTTGTTTCAGACTGTTCCTCCTGATCGTTCTCCTCAATCTCTTTGAAAATTTCATTTTCTAACTTATCAACTTTATCACGGACATCTGCAATAAATTTAGCTTTAATTAGAATTCTTATAACAATTGTGAGAAATAAAAGTCACCTTCACATACAATTTAAACTGCTTTAACATTCTAACAATACAATATAATAAGTTATATAATACGGTACAAATATTATATACCTGTGTAAGATTTTACTTGCCTTCATCTGCTGGTGTAAAAATAATAGGCGATTTTTCTCTTGCGATTTCCAAAGGTTGTTTTGTTCCAGATTTCTCTGTATGGGACTGTACTGGCACATCTGTATCTTTGTGGAAAATTTCCACGACATCAGCCAGAACTGGATGTAGTTGAGACCAGTGACCTTCTAAATGAACTTCCTATAAGGAAGGATATTTATGGTAGTACAAAATACGAGATAGAGAGAGAGAAAGAGTTCAGTGAGTAACAAGTAAGCTGTATATTTCACAATAGAGCTTTTTCACACCACTATAAGAGCTATAATTTGTAGCATTTATTATGGTAGTATTTATATGAAATTTGTTTCAACAAAATTACACAAACAGTAAGATACAATTTATGTGTCACTGCGCAGAAGGTAAATGTTTAAAGCATGGCAAATGTCGACCACTCAGAATGTTTCAAATATCACGCCATCGCTGAGTGTGAGAGAAACTGACACTCAACGTGTTGTATTTTACATCTTATGAATATTGTTACAAGACTCACTATTAAATTATCTTAACCATGTGCCATATTAGATGCAACCTTTGTATCAATCTTTTTGTGAAAAGTAATTTTGAGACTTGTTTAGCGCTATATTACAGAGTTGATTTAAATATGTTATAAATATAAGAATATAACAAAAACGCCTTACCTGGTTGTTTTTGGCAAAAGTTATTTTAAGAGTTTTGTTTTTTGGTTCATAGACTAGTGGTTCCTTTTTATCGATTTTATCCTTAGTACCGACGTCTTTTTCTGTAAAACACAAAATATATATTTTTTTGGTATTTTTCTTTATCTATATCGATAAAACATCATACCACAGAGTATATAAAACTAACATCTCACGAAAATGCACACACAAAAAGCTTGTTTATTAAAGATTAGAAGTCAGCTGGCCTAGATAAAATGTAAATGACCCGCTCATATTTCAGCGGCGTAAGTGAGACAGCATTACGAGCTTTATCAGTTAATATGCCATGAGAGCTAATTTAATAATACTTATTCTTGTATGTACGTAAAGAAGAGCTCGATGAGTATTGGGTAGTGCGTTCGGTCTACGATAAGGTTGTCACCAACTTTTACAAGCGCCAGTTATAGGATGGGTTACTAAAAAAAATATCTCTAACTCCTCCATGCTAAGCCATGCAAGGCGGTCCCAGCTCCATCTGTAGTCGTTAACACTCACCAATCTGCACTGGTGATCAAGGTTTTTTCTACATATTCGATTCGATTGCATTACCTAGGGAAGGCCTTTTTTTACCCAGGGAATTAGGAATTACACAAGATGATGCCTAAAATTAATAAAAAAAATCACAAAAACGTTGAATTTTAAAAATATCTCACCATTATCGCTACTTAATACAATTTGGGATGTAGAGCGTGTTTCTTGCGTCGCCGCTCGACTTCTGGAATGTGTGAATGGGCGTTTTTTATTCCGCACGACTCATTATCGGTCCATAATACAGGCGTTGACGTCCATTTATAACATTATGATGGCTAATGGGCACGATGTGTTATGATCGTATTTATTTAACAGTTTGGCAAAATAAAAAATATAATTCATATCATATCATTATATCCAGGTTCTTGATCCAATCAATCCATTGCTTAAGACTGTATACTCTTAATTTCTCCAGGTACCCCGCTATATTTATGCAATGCGCTTTCCACTATCCCTAGTCATTACGATTACGCTAGCGTTACGTGATTACGATTTATAAATAAATAAATAAATGTAATTGACCTACCCATAAATAAATTTCAAATTCATGTAAAGAATATACTTATGAGTAAAGGCTATTATAAAGTTGATGATTATTTTAAGGATCGCAATGCATGGAATTAATAGCCTTCGCTTTGTTCTATAAAGACTAATTATATGTTCTACCTATGTCCTACAGACTTTGAAAGTTGTATTTATTATTGTGATAATACGTATTATTTTGGTAATGACATGATTTATGTAAATGTCATTACTTATGATAAAAAGCTGGTAAGTTTCTTTCGCTTGTTCTTCTTGTCAGCTAAAAGACGTCCTGAACAAGTGGTAGGGGAAAAAAATTTTTTGGACGATTCAAAAGTGCTTGTAATAGCCTACTTGAATAAAGATATTTTCATTTCATTTCATTTCATAAAAGTGCCCAATATCTTTCTAATTACATTGGCATGGTTGGTGAATAAAACAAATACAGTGTCATTAACAAACAAGATTAAGCGATGGAGTAAATTTACGCTGAGACTGCACTTAGTATTAGTCAAAATTCATATGTAATAAACAGCGAATTAGCGAAGGTAAACGAGGTGCTACGGGAGTAATATTTACTCCTAGAAGGTAGTAGGTTTGCTTATTCTCTGTATAATATGAATTTGGACTAATAGTAAAATTGCACTGGGTGATGTACCCTTAGTACTTCAACATACTAACATATCAACCATAGAAGGGTCTTGCACATATTTGTCACGCCTCCCAGACTATGTAATAGAAATTAACTAATAAGTTAATGTAAATGCTTATACCTTGACGGCTTTGTAGGTAACAAAGGCGAGGGACCCCTAACCTCTTCACGTTTGTTCCGCAAAATAAACCTGCGAATGCAATTATGGAATGTTATATTCATGAAGATTTATTATAAAGATACAAATCAAAAATGAAAAACTAACTTCTTTAATTCTTCTACCCGTTTCCTTTCTTCAACATATTTTTGTTTCCAATAATTTTCTTCTTCGTCTGGGTCACCTGTTTTTATTTGTTAATATTTTTATCATTTCATAAAACATATGAAAAATAAGTAACGATATGTTTAAACCGAATTTACATTTCGAAACTGGTGTCACGAAACTAATATCAACATACCATCATCACCATCAGCAGCCCTTTTACGACCCCACTGCAGGGGCTCAGGCCTTCCTTATGGATGATTAAGGAGGATGGGCCATGACCCTCCACGCTGGCCCAATGCGGATTGGAGGGTATTAACGACTGCAAATGCAGCCGGGACCAACGGCTTAACGTGCCTTCCGAAGCACGGAGTAGCTCGAGATAAAAATTTTTTGGTCACCCATCCCTTGCGAAAGTTGCTTAACGACTACGATCGCGGGCCGCGGCGCCTATCCACTACGCCACCGAGCTACTCAACATATATCTGCTACCGATTAATGAAATGAAAGTTTCATGTGACTAATTTCGTAATTTAAATCCGGCTTTAGTATTAATGTACTCACTGTCCGGTGAATAAATAAGGTAGTTATTGACCGTTCTACCGTCCTTCACAAGAGGAAATAGTTTCTTTCCATACATTACAAATAGGCCCCCTTCTTCTTCAAGGGAGTGAATGCGAGCTGATTTAGGTTTTCTGTGGACAAAAATAAATGAATACTCATAGATATACCTCAATATTCACATGAACACTTAAGTGATATAATATTTAGATAGATGATGTTACTCACAGATATTTTTTTGCCCGTCTGCCATTCTTGTGTCCTCGTGGAGGCGAAACGTAATCACTGTCACTTTCTGACGTCCATTCACTGGATTCATAGCTCGAACAGTTTCTGTATTAAAAAACATGGTAAAGGTTAGTTGACATCCCCTGGATTTCGAATACCTGCTATCTACTGTTGAATATAAAAGTTTGACATTCTAGATCTCTGATTTGCTCCTCCCTGTCCCAAAACTTCAAAAACGAATAATGACCCAAAGCATTATGTGAGCTTTGAAATTAAACGATTTATATCTCTGCATTGTTTCGGCAAAGTACTGTTTTTTTGTATATAATGCAATACGTCACTGGCCCTATCTTGCACACCAATAGGCAGTACTGCGCGAAAACGATACAGAGTTCTATTACGATACATATCATTTACATATAATGCTCACATATTACTTCAGTTTATTCTCGGTTTTTCGCTTGCCCATATAATATAATCACAAAATTTATAATCACAATACATCAAAAAATAAAAATATATTTACACACCCATGATAATTATGACAACCAGAATATTTTCGTAAGCTTGTTCTTTTTTTACGTTTTGATGAGACCGCACCTAAAAATGAAATAACCCAAAAGTTAGATTAAATCAATGACAGGTTACAATACATATAAAACAAACCAAGAGCCAACAAACATCAATAATTTAATAAGCAAATATAGATCAGGACAGTGATATTAGAAGCTATAAAAGTTTTCAAGCATGTGTCAAGAGTAAAGAATTTCAAGCGAAACATGTTAGTTAATACTGTGCCTTGTGGGATTTAGTTCTCTCCATCTACCCTAAAAAGGATCTGGTGTGAAGATAAACATAGACACAAAATCTCATTTATGTTATGCAAAACCATTTTGATAGTTTCCATTTGGACATTGAAAACTTACCACTAGAGAATCCAAATATATTAGCTAAAGCATTATCTCTTTTTAATTTAGATAACACTATATTTTTAGTGTCCTTCTTAACTGGTACTTTTCCTGAGTCACTATCCGTGTCTGAACGAGACTTCAACATAACTACTTCATTTAATTTGCTTGCTAATTTATTTTCTGTTACGGATGATGGTTTATTATTATTTGACGTTTGTCGTGGCTGATCATTATTAGTTTCATGTTCACTGGAATCTGATGTATGGTTAGTCATATTAAATTGTTCATCATACAAACTCATACTTTGTAAACAAGGATTTGCTTGTGATGATTGTGTGGATGTATTTTTATCACCTTTTTCAGGAAGTTTATTTGGAGGAAAAATGTCACGGGTATTATCTTCAGGCGTTTGTTTGTTATTTACTACATCTGATTTTTTATTCTGGTTTTTATCAATCTCGTTACTGATATCAATAACGTCAGAACAGTTAGTTTTTTGAGAGTCAACATTAGCATCTGATATATGGTTGTGAGTAGTTTCATTGCAGTTTGCTTTTTGCAACTTCAAATCTACTTCTATATCATTTGAAGCAGTTCTGTCCCTAGTAATATTATTTTTATTAACAGTTATTTCATTTCTGTTTTTCTTATTTTCGAGCTTTTTATCATGTAGTGCTTCTTGATTGTTAGGTAGAACTGTATCAGTAGTACTAGTCGAACAATTTTGAGTGGATTGGGCATGAGATTTAGTCAATTTATCCACCCCTTTTTCATTGCTATTACTTAACATAGAAGCTCCTGAACCATTTTCAATCTCCATGCGCGTAACATTTGAGTCAGATTTATTATTCTTACTATTCGTTGTGTTCGTATTTTGCGATGCTTTTAAGTCATCGACAGGAACATATATACCTTGACGTTTTCTAAGTCGTAGGGACTTCACTTTTGGTTCAACAAATTTATCTGACTCGTCTTTGTTTCTTTTATCATTTTGGTCTTTATTATGTTCAAGGATATCTTCAACAGCATCTGGTACTCTATGAGAAGACACATTTCCCTGCTCTTCTGGTTCTTGTTCATTCTCTACTATTTGCATTTTTGGTTCTCCACTATCTGACTCATCATCTGTTGCAAAATCATGTAAAACTTCTTGAAGCATAGGGGTCAAAGGCTCAGAATATGTAATCAAATCTCTTAAAGATTTACTTTGGGATTTTCCTTCTGCAGTTTCTTCTTTATCATTTGAATCATTTGGTGATTCCAGGTCCCTCAAAACATCATCAGCAGTTTCATAACAATTATCTAAAATTACAGTTTCCACTGAAGCTCTATCACGAGCTGAAATTCGGGAAGATTTAATTTCCTCACCTGAAGTTTTGTCTTCATCAATGCATTTACTAGTACTAGGTTGTTCATTGGTTTTCAGATTTTCAGCTACAAATAATGTAGAAATAATAAAAAAATATATTAATATACCTAGTGCATGTTTTTTCTTATGTATTATTTAAATAGTCAACAAAATGCCTATACAATTTGTTTTAAGCTCAAAGACAATGAGCTTAATTTTGTTAAAAAATAATTAGTATTATTAGTGTCACAGGCAAAACAAGTAATGCAAAGAATAGGGATGACGACTAGGTAAAAAACAAGATATTCTTTTTAGTCCATCAGTCAGATAATAAAAAAATATTAGATACATATTTTTTTTACTTCAATTTAACAAGAAAGATAACGAGCATTAAAGTCAAGGAGTAGGGGCTCGCTACGTCACACTTTTGTAGAAAATGTACCATAGCGTGACGTCACGCGATATTTTCATTCAATGTATCGCCATTATTTAATGATTACGAATAAAATAAAAAAATATGTGTTTAATATCTTTCAACAATCTACCTGACGGGCAAATAAACAAAAAATAGTCGTCATGACTATATTACTATTCAGCTAAGTTAGACAATAAGGCTAACTTTAAATTGAAATACACAAGATACATTTAAAGTTAAAGTAGAAGCAGAGCTAGAGATTTGAGACTTTATACTGTGAACATTTTATTTACTGTTTTATTAAAAACCTTATCTATACTCCATTCATTATAGCATTAGACAAAAGTTAAATAAGGTTCTTTTTATGGTATACTTTGTGACAAATATCAATAATCATGTTACTCTTAGGACTGACGGCTAATTTGCTTCATATCCACTTAAATACCAGCTGCTATACTTAACTGTTGTCATTTAAGCTATCTCTTAAAAAAAATTAAAAGTATTTGACTAATTTAAATGATTTAATAACTATTGTTCACAATAAAAATTGTTCATCTTAAAGAACCTAAAGAAGCAGGGTTGATAGTTTCTGTACGATTCTCATGTCGCTATAACTCCACCAAATTTAAAACATTGCCTAATCCCTTCAAATGTTTCGGCAGTACAGCTTTATAATTTTGTCAGACTATGATGTGTTCATAATAATCAAAATACGTAATCTGGGATTGATACTGCTACTGCCTTTTTTGTTGTTTTCTGTGATTAAGTTGTTATTGTTTTATTTTTGTTTTGTTATAGTTTCATTTTTGTTGTGAAGTTTTGTTCAATATGGATGATGCTGGTGAAGGCCCAAGTGGCCTACAACAATTACGCTCTAAGCCCCCATACCTATCATACTTACCAGCTCTTTCAGACTACCTAACATTCAAAGTTTCAACAAAACTATGATATATATATTTTTTAATTTATCTTGAAAATAAAATCTTTTTTTCTAATGTTATAAAGAATGGAGTATAGATAAACAGAAATTAATTGTAAAATAGCTAATCTAAAAAATATAAATAAAAATAGAATATCATCATACCATTTGAATTAGAATTTCCATCTAATTTCTGGATTTCCAATTTATTTTTCTCTCTTGATTGAACATCAAACCTTGAAACAGATATTTTCTCTTTAATTTTATTTAAATGAATTTTTTCTTTTTTTTTTGTTGTAAAGAATAAAAGAGCTACAAAGGAATGCATAGAAATGAAATAAATGCTTACCCTTGCCTGAAACTACAAACTTGATCCATAGTCAGTTTATAATAAGGATTGTGAATATCAGGGAGTATTCTTTTCAGAAAAGTCTCTTTAAGACTCTGCCAAGTTCTGTTTGTGAGCTGAAAACAACAATTTTCTCTTCTTTAATTCTCTAATTTAAGATATCATCAATTACTTTACTTTTATAATATAATATTTTATAGATAAATTGATTAATACAAAACACCAACTTGAGAATTTGAAAAATCAATCCACATTTTTCGCCCTTTTATTTCACCATAGGCTCTATGTTCTACCAAATATTCTACAATAGTTTTCATTTCTTTCATTGTATAGGCTTTCCTGAAATAGAAATAGAAAGAACAATCATAGCAACAAGGTGCAATTTTATTCAGTACGCAAGGAGTGGTGCGATTGTATTCATATTCACATTAGATTTATTAGTATTGAGGGTATAAAGCTGCTCATGGATAGTTGAAAATAAAACCGCTTACGTTATAAATTTTGAAATGAAAGGTAAAATTTGAAAATCACATTAATTGATAAACATTTCAGTACAACACAAAGATCACAATGACAGCAAAATAAGTACTAGATAATCAACTTTAACTATTAAAAATGCTTACCCTGACATTTTTGGTAAAACTCCCCAACCGGCAAAATTCAATTTAAACTAGATTTTACAGATAAGAACTTTTATAGGTGCTCAATAATTTCAGATTAGTTCTTAGCTTATATAAACTGCAATATTTGATTGGACAACTATTATTAATGCAGTTTTTAACAAATTAAATCACAATTATTTTACATAAAATTAAATTCGCTTCGCTTGCAACACGCACAACAAAAATAACCAGACAGATTTATTTAGGAATGGGCAAAAACTATCGATGTATCAAATTATCGATATTTTTTTCTAAAAATATCGATATAAATAAGCGATATATTTTTCCCGTGATATATCGGCTTTCGATATTTATTTTCAGATATCAAATTCGTATCAAAATCGATATATTTTTTTAATTTCTGCTGTCTGCACATGCGTCACATCATGTATTTCTTAAATTTAGAAAAGAGTAGTTGGACAGTAGGCTGTATGAGTTTAGTTTATAACCTGTTTGTGTTTTTTGTTTGTCTTTTTATTTGACAGTGACACTGCTTGTTGGTTTAGTTGGTATCACTGAGTGTGCTCTTGATGACAATATAAGAGAAATGCACGTTTGTTTGAACAATCTAATTTTGGTTCTGTTATTAATGTTGTTTTCTTAGCTTTATGTGCTTTTTTAAATAATAAACAGCCAGGTGTGTAGTTGCTTCAAAATTTCGAATATTTTGAAATTATCATTGATAATCGCTTAATACGCAGAAAATATCGATATATCAATATATCGATATATTTATGACGATAGTTATCGATACATTAGAAAAATATCGATTCGGTATATTTCGATATTTTTTACCCATTTGCTCATCCCTAGATTTATTTATTTGGCACAGACCAAGGAGGGGATAAAAAGGGATGTATCGATAAATCAGAAAACAAATCCAAATCGATATGTATTGTTACGGAGCGCAGCGGTGCGATGTTCGTTAGCTCGTTACTGTAAGACTCGCGCTAACACTGTCCAAACTACTTGATATAGATGTTGGAAGTAAGAGACAGTGACTGGGAAAGAAGGAACTAGTAGCGACGTAGCGTATGAATGAAGCATTAAAAAAGGTTTATAGTAAAAGCTGACGATACTTTTAAGAAGTCTATTTGAATAAAGCGAAAACTAGCGAAGTGAACTATCGGAACGATTGAATATTGTTGAGAAGCAAGAGTAGTGACGAGACTTGCGAAGTCGACTGATTTTGTGGATGAAATATTTTTGTAATTTTATAATTAAAAATAAATAAAGTCATTGCGAATTTATTGAGGAAGTATTTTAAGAAAAAAAGTAAGCACTAAAAAAGCATCTCACTAGATGGTGGCTCTACAAAAAGTAAATTTTTGCTGGAAACGAATGGACCAAAGATAGTCATTTCCGTTCCTTTTAACTTTGCAAATTTTTAAACTTAGATATCAATACACATACGAAAAAGTACAAATAGAATATGAGTTGTTTATAGAGAGTTGAAAGTTAATTTACCTTTATTAACTTTCAATTCTCTAAAGAAAACCGGAAGGGTTATCATTAAGGAATTAAGAAAGAACCGTAGCGACATCCAGTTTGATTTCGGGTACTATTTTTTACTCCCTCATTGGCGTTGATTTTTACCCCGAACCCGAAGAGCTTCGTGCTTCTCTTCTCTTCGACGACTTCTCGTAACAATATCAATATCAAATAACACCAACATATCGAAAGAAACCAAAGAGTAAAAGTATATCAATTGACCAAATTATAACACAAACGGCTGATCTACACATGAAATATTTGTGAAAGGCGAAACAGTATTTCTCATCGCGTTCAGGATAATTCCTGTACTTTATGTAATCCTCAAAATAAACGTTAAGATACTCAGATTCATAAATTATGCAAAAAAAATATTTAAATACAAGGGATTGTGACACTATCGACGACCTGTGACGAGCAAGCGGCTGATGAGCTGAGCTGTGCGGCTTAGACTGTTATATCACTAACATAAATCGATTGAGGATTCCTTGCAAAATATAGTCACATATTTTTGGAATTTTGGCAGTGGCAGAAAACGTTCCACCAATTCCATTCTCCGGGCATCCATAATAATAGAGCATGGTGATGTTATAAGTATTATGACTGACTATAGAGACACCTGTGGGTTGTTTTCTAATTATTTTCGAACAGGTAGAACTTGTTTTAAATCCAGCGGCAGATCACAATACTGAAATTAACGTTCAATTAGCTTATTATCCTGTTGTGCTAAAATACTAGTCTCTTGTTTTTGATCATCTAAATAATTTTAAAAGTCTATAAGATCACAGCATGGATTTTTTTGTAATAAATCAACTATTTGTAATATGCTCTACTATAAAAATTATATTTTTATCCGCCCTATTTCGTAAAGAGTAGGTATTTTTTTTCTCCGATATCTGAGAAAAAAAAACTTATTCGCTAGAGGAAAAAGATAATTGAATTTAGAACATCATGTCCACTAAGTTTGTGAATTCAAAACATCATTTATTTTATTACTGTTTTCACTGCTGAGACGCAGGCCTTCCTATAGATAGAATCGAATAAAGAGTATGTCATAGCGTCCCACAAATAAGTGCGACCTAAGCAATTGTTCAATTTGCCTATAAGGAGGGGCCAGCCCTGAATTTTATACACACTCATTTCTATATTCTTGAACATAGCGCAACAGAAACTATTTGATTTTCTCAATGACAGATTCTTTAAAATCTTATTTTCAATCCTATTGATAACCCATACTATAGAATACAAATCCATATTTAACCGACGCGATAAAAAGGTAACGCCTATCTTAAAAGTGGTAAAAAAAAATCAAGGGTGAAATATCAATTTAATTAATTGATTGACAAAAAATTTTTTTTTCGATTTTCTTGATCGATTGGTCTTAGATCGCCGTCAATATTCTGTTAGCATTGTGTTACTCACTCTTTTTTAATGAGGATAAGTGAGTACCTCATTCTCCCTCGTGAGGGGCTCGCGAATTATAATGAGGATAGGTAATATTATAGTAGCAGTGAATGAGTACGTAGCGAGGCGCGCGCAACATTGGCGTTTGGTACAAAATGAGGGAGGGAGTCGGTAATGCTAAACAAAACATATTTTCTCTTTAGATTCTAAGAAATAAACTTTTTTAGATTATTATTTAACAGAATGACCACAACACGCAACTTATGTGCAATAGTGTCAAATGTTCCATTTTTAAAATCGATCAATCATTTATATTTCGAATCATATAAATATATATCTAAATAAAACCAATACATTTTTATTAACTTTGATTTTTACTTAGACCAATTAATATCATTTATCTATAAAATATTAAATACGTATTTCCGAAGAAACACATAAACAAACCAGAATCGTTCCCATTCCCTCAATCTTGAATATATTGAGTAAGTATCGAGTAGCCTTTTCATTCGAAACAACTCGCTATTTAGCTTAATGAGGTGTTTCAAAATTGAAAAACGAGTACTCCCTCCAGGCGGGTGAAACTCCCATACATTATCATAGTTCAAAAAGTTCACAGAAACTAGCGCCATCTTTTGAGTGGGGAACCCTAGTTAGTCCTTAAGTTATCAAATATTTGCTACAAGAGGGCACTAGCAATGCCGATGAATTAAACTGAGCAAGCAATTTAATCGAAAATTAGTTTTCCTATTAGTAGATGGGTGTGTAGATATATATTTTGATTATTAATTAATTACTGAAAAAAGAAACTAAGGACAAAATTAATAGTAATTCTCATTAAATTTTCTGTAATGCAACATTAAGGTAGGTACGAGGGAATTTTGCCATACCTACTGTTCCGCCATATTTGAATAACATACTTTCTTCTTTTTGAGTTCGTTGTGCGTTTATTGTGTTTTATTGTGATATTTGCTACGACTAGGCTTGATTAAGGATTTTGTAATTTCCAACGCTTTACGATAACTCCTGGCTTGTAACTTGGATCCCGGACTGATTGCATAACTGTTAAATTGGCGCTTTCTATCACGGATTTCGTTTATGATTTTGAAAACTTTTGCAAAAATGCCAAAAGCAAATAAATTAAAATGTTACTTCGGCTGTGTTATCGATGGTAAGTTTTTCAATTACAAAAGTTTCTTCATTTCCATTTAGTTACATTTACAAAAAGGGAAATTAACTGTAAACTTAAAACTGGAAACAACACCTTTGTGTCAACTTATTAAATTATTCTACTGTTTAAAACTAATTATTCAATCAATACCAAAATTTCCCATTTGTTTTTACTTGTTATTCCTGTACAAAATATTTAATCTTGTCTCCGACTATGATTATCTAGCCAGAGAGCATGCATCACAGAGATGATAAATATTACAATGATATTATATTTATATTTATAGATATTATATTTATAATGATAAATAAAAATGAGTAAGAATTCAATTGCATTTAAAGTTTACTGTCCACTTTATTTAAGAATTATTTTTACTTTCAGTCCCCAAGAAACGCTGTTTGGAACAGAAGTCCAAAAACATAATTGAAAAATTATCAAAAAAGCTAGAGAAAATCCGGCAAAAGTGCAAAACACAGACAAAAAAAATACTTGTTTCAAGAAAAATTTTTTTTAAAAACTATTGAAAAATTACCGAAAGCACTGCAAACTTTCATGAAATTGCAGTTGAAATATAGAAATACACCACGAAGAAGACAATACACCACTGATGAAAAAATTATGGCCTTATCTATACTAAAATTAAGTCCTAAAGAATATAAACTTTTGGATAAAATGTTTATCTTACCATCAAAACGTTGTTTGCAAAAGATACTCAGTACATTTACAATAAGGCCAGGAATTAATAAAGAAATATTAGAAAATTTTTAAAAATGTGTTGATTGTATGCCCAAAGAAAAAAGAATTGTAAATTTATTATTTGATGAAGTCTCATTAGCACCCTGGTCTCATATACTAATTTCGCTTCACCCAAAATTAAATATTGTGAAACATTGTAGTCGATATCAGGCAGTCAAACTTTTTAACGCCCTGCCGACGGAGTTAAAAGCTATCGAAAGTCCTAATAAATTTAAAACTAAATTGAGGCAACTTCTGTTAGACGGTTCTTTCTATACGCTGGAGGAGTTCTATAGTGGTCAGTGCATCTTACCCAACGGATAATTAATAAAAGCTACCATAATGTTTAAGTGTCTGCATGATTTTTATGTAATTTTATTTTGATTTGTTCTTGTACCATTCAAATACAATTGTAAAAAATTGTTAATGCTGTAATGCTGTATGAATTATAATAATAAAATAAATATACAATGAGCGTTCAAATGAAATTATTGGTTTCGAAGACAATGGGACAAAAAAACTAATTGCATTGCTGATCATGCCCTTGTTTTTATGATAAAGGATATAAAAAGTAGATCTGAAAGCCCTTCTTGAAGTCATAAAACAGATAAATGAAACAGGGCTAAGAGTAATTTCTACTATTTGTGACCAACACACAACAAATTTTGCAGTAATTAAGGAGTTAAGGGAAAAGACACAAAATAAAAACACCAAAGAAGGAAGACCAATAATGCAAACAACATATTTTGAGGTAGACAACATAAAAGTATTTCCTTTATTTGATCCACCACATTTGCTAAAAGTCATTATAAATAACTTTTTGATGAAAAACGCCAAATTTATACTAGATGGTGAGGAAAAAGTAGCAAAATGGGAACATTTAAGTATGCTTTTGGCCATTGATGTTGGTGATGATGAAATTCGTCTTGTAAATAAACTGACGGAAAATCACGTCAACAAAGATGAGATAAAAAAATGAAGGTGAAATTAGCTGCCCAAGTATTTAGCCAATGTGTATCGTCTGCGCTTCGCGCGAAAAGATAAATAAATTAATAGATTGTACTAGTAATTAGTTTAATTTATTAACCTTTCACTGTGTTAATTAACCAGTAAATAATTTACTGGTTAATTAACATGATAAGAATTCATATAAAATAATGTATATACACCATTGAATGCGTATGAGCGCCATCTAGTGGACCCGTGTGAAAACAAAAAGCTACTTGCACGCCATCTCGTGACTAGGGAACCGCACAAGTTTCCATTTTCGACCTTAGAGTGGCGTATCTATACCAGTATTATGTATAATCTATGACTCCCTCATTTTGTCGAAATGAGGAACTCAAACGAGGCACCTCGCGAGTGAGGGGCTCATCACTATATTCTGTCTGTCCTGTCACTCATCTGTCACTGTCTATTTGACAGGCGAATGCTCGAGAGGGAAAATTTGGAAATGAATTTTTGAATAATTTTAGTTTAAACTGATTTAATAGCAAGTTTTCTTAAAAGATGAGTTGTTCCAATTATTTGTCGATCACAGATATATTAGTATCTCATGAAAAAGTGCCGTGCAAGTTTTTTTATGATTTACCAAAAATGGGTAGGTTTAACTACCAATTTCGATTTTTTTTCAAAGAAAACATTGTGTAGTATTTTTTAGCTGGCTTTAGAAACGTAATTTTTTTGGCGGATTCAATTTCTGGCGGCATCACATCAATTAAAATTTCCTAAAGTATTTAAGGTGACTTGTCTCACCTCTATTTGTTGCTTATTGAGTTTTTGAAATGATTCTATAATAAAAATATTACAGGTTTTTTGGATCCTTCAGCTGTGGATGATGATTTAAAAGCTGGAACAAATACTGAAATTCCCTTGTGGTTAGCTGAATCTTTACATTCAAGAAGACCACCATTACTTAGTGTAGATTTGCCTAAAATATATAAAGATGCTTATAGAGAAATACTAAATGCTGATGCTTGTACAGTTGACTTATATAAATTGGGTCAACATTTCTATGAACTAGGATGTTATGTTGCTAAATATGATATCAAAGGAGATGTAACTAATACCCTTATAAATGTAAGTAATATAAATTATTAATTAATCATTACATCATTTTTGTTTTAAATGTAACTAAACTACTACATTGTGTTAACGTTATTTTGTTGCAGACATTTAAGCAAAGATTTAGAATGCTTCTTACAGCAAGTGCATCCAATGATTCAATAGGTAGCATGCAACCATTATCAGGGAGTGAACGAAAATTTGCAGCAGCAGCAGCAGTAACTGAAAATGCTATTTCAATGTGGCTACAAAGAGGAGACTGTGCACTTAAAACAGCAAATATGGTTGCTAATCATAGAAAGAGAAAAAGAGCAGAAATGGAAATGTTTTGACATATAACTAGTGTATATTATTGTGTAATATGATTGTCTGCTATGATGGGATGTAATTAAAATGTTCCTTTGTTTATATATTTTTTTTATTGATATTAAAATTTTACCATCACACACTTTAATGTCCATTTACCAAGACCTAGATCTGTCCCTGATCATTAAGTTTGATCCCTTGCAAAGTAGGTAGAGAGGACAGTTCTATAATGTATATCTTTATACTTAGAAATGGAGGCTGTAAGTAGAGGCAGTACAATCATCAGCCCTTATAAGTCCCTACCGCAGGGGCTCAGGCCTTCCTAATGGTTCGCATTAGGCTAACATGAACTATGACCCTCCACGTTAGCCCAATGCGGATTGGAACCCTCCAATAATTGACCCGTTAATACCCATTTACGAATACGGCAAATAACGCCGGGGCCAACGGCTTAACGTATCTTCCGAAGCATGGAGTAGCTCGAATTTTTGATCACCCATTCTCTTGCGAAAGTTGGTTAACAATGACGATCGCGGGCTGCTGCGTTTATCCACTAAGTCGCCGAGCTACTCGTCACTAGTTCATCAATGTACCTGGAATTTTTTTTGAGGTTTGATCCTGGATATTCTTGCCAGTGTCAGCAAAATGGACACATCACATCAGACATAACGCCTTATGGCAATTATGACTCATAAATAATTGTCCATTTGATTCAGTGCAAATGAAGATACAACAAGCGTCATATTGATTGTTTCAGGTGCGAATCCAGAATTTGGTTGCACAATTCTATATTGACGATATTTATTTTATAAAATCTAAGTCTTAAGTACTTCATTTTTATTATGTGGGTGTTTCTCTTAAGAATTCTGTTTTAGTGCATAACACGACGAAATCTGTATTAGTAGTGAGTACAGTTGTCGCAATAAATAGATCCAGTTTATCGAAAGTATTTAAATAGTATGTTGCTTGAGTACACGATAATGTCATTCTATTATTAAATCTAGATCACACGTCGATTACTACTATCGATAGGCGGATATAGGGTTGAACACTTATGTATTATAATATTATGCTATGTATTATTTTTTCTTGTGGTCTGGGGTCTTGGAAACTAAAGTAGCACTTACCTACATGGAATTCGTTGAAAGGTTGCCATCGAAATTAAGTTTCGTTAAGAGGATGCGAACACCAAAATCAACCTCAATCGGTTTTGTATAAACAAAGTTCTATAATGCTGTAATTAAAAAAGACACCTATATCTTATTTCTAAAGGTTCTTACAGTTATAACATGAATTTATAAAATTTTGTCTATATCTATAGAAAATAAACCCAAATAACTACCTACCACTGATTTTTTGCAGTTTTTGTATTGACACTTTTTAGCCGATGGAATTATGCAGTACTTACAAGAAATCGTATCAGTTTGCGAGTAGTAAAACCACTTTTGGACGCATTACTTGCTATCCTGTCCTTATCATCTTATTACGCCCACTTTTAAGTAAATTCTTTTGATAGTTACTAGCGAGTACTTATAAGTAAATATATTATTTTTAAACGAGATTTAAAAAGAAAGAAAATAACTTCGTACCTACTATTATGAAACGTTAGCAACCTTGTTAGCAAAGGAAGCTACAGTATAAAAGCTTCTGGCACCTTGTTTTTCCCAGTGCATTGGAAGTACTGTGAGGCAATACTGGGTTTTGAATATGGATCCAGTGGAATTTCATGCATCAAATTTAATAAATCAAAGTTTTGGATTGTGCATTAGTCCTCAAGATTTAATATATTCTTATTACAACTATCCCAACATCAACTATTACAGGCCTTGGAGATTGTTAAAGCAAAAAACAACAGATTTCGGATCGACAGTTTCTAATGAAAAAGAATTTAAAATATGCTTGGATGTTCAGCATTTCCAACTAAGCGAAATATGCGTAAAAGTAGCTGGTAATGAAATAATAATAGAAGGCAAACATGAAGAGAAGAGAGATGACCATGGTTTCATATCAAGAGCTTTCAAGAGAAGATATCTGTTGCCAAAAGACTGTGATGCCGATACTGTTGTCTCAACACTGTCCTCAGATGGTGTCCTCGTAGTTACCGCAAGTAAGGTTGATCTAAAGAGCAAGGAAATAGTTGTTCCAGTAAATTTATGTACTAAATGTCCAAATAAGGATGATATAAAATCCGAAACTGATACAGTATTTAAATCTGGAGATAATAGATCTACTTTTAGTACATCAGAACACAAAAACGTGGCAGAAGAACGTACAGAAGTTAAAACAATTGACAATGAGGCAAATAAAAAGATATCAACCCTAACGTTAAGAGAAGATCATTGTCGTTTGTTAAAACCTGAATTATTGGCTGAAGCTGCTACAAAAGCTGCAAAAATAGATGTATCTAGTATGGTTTTTACAAATACAGAAAAATTAAATAAATCTATAGATGAAGTAGGAAAAAAATCTACTGAATTTAGCAAGCAAACAGGGGAAGAAATATGTGAAATATCTGAAAAAGCTGGTACTACAAAGCTTCAGACAATGGAAAGTACTGCAGGAACAAGTTCAGTTAAATCAGAATTACATTGTATTAAAAATTTACTAAGTGAGACAATAGAGCTGCAGCAATCATCATCATCATATTTGTCCTCTACATCATCAAGCATTAAAGAAACATCTGAAAAGTTAAGTGAAATAGTGAGTGACATTAGTGCTCAACTTAGAGAAGCAGCAGATAATATTTAAAACTATATGAAATCTTAAAAATTATTATTTATTAAACTAATATTATTACAAAACATGTGAAGGTATAATGATTAAACCTTATAATGACTAGTCCATAATTGATTTATATTATTATACTGCTATTAATAATTTATATACAACCTCATCTTATTGAATAATTTTAAAATTCACATAGAAAGTACTGAGATCATCATTTTGTAAACAAACAAATTTTTGAATAGAACAATGATTTTTCTATATTTTAATCATGTCAAAACATACAGTTGCTTACAAATTTGGTCTAAACCAAAATCTACTCTATGTCAATGTCTCTTCATCACAACACTCTTGTATCTCTGCGGTATTTTTATCACCAAATATGAGTTCAGAGGTACACTTGTATGGGTGTATTGATTGTTAACATCTGTCATTTTTTACTGATGGATTGAGGTCATGGAAGTAAGCATGTGCCATAGCATCATCAGCTGGCATACGTAACGCTGGATTGCAAGTGAGCAGCCGGGCAAGTAGGTCTCTACCCCGAGCAGGCAAACGAGGCACAACTTGGGCGAGACCCAAACTGGGTTGGTAAACAGGCAGTGGTTTATAGTCAGGCAGTTGAGTCACTCCAGGCCATGTATCCTCATTTGGTGTGCCTGCAATGACATTAACTTTGTCATCTTGAAAAAATCTAATACAATGTTTAAATTTAGTAAGATAGTGTTACCTAGAGAGCTCCTAAGAGTTAAAACATCTCTTGAGAGTACATTAAAATATTGAAAAATCATTAGAATTGAAGTACAATGTGTATTATATGTTTTTCTTAACTAATAAAAAGTACACATAAAATTAGGTTTTGTTTTATTTTGGGGCTAAAGATATATAATCTGCAAATTATATTTTAGTACCTATTTAAGTAAAAGATGTATAAATATCAGAAATGAAAGTGCAGTGAAGGAGTGAACACAGCATACCTAGTAATTTAAAAATCCTTTTCAATTGATCATCAACATCAGATCCTGGAAATAAAGGCCTTCCAGAATTTGCAAGTTCAGCAAATATACAGCCCGCAGACCACATGTCAATGCTGGTTGTGTATAGCTTAGCCCCAAAGAGAACGTCTGGAGGCCGATACCACAGTGTTACTACTTCCGCTGAATAGCATTTCACTGGAATACCAAAAGCTCTAGCTAATCCAAAATCTGCCAATTTTAGTTCCCCGTTTTTATTTATTAGTAAGTTCTGAGGCTTTAAATCACGATGGAGAACGTTATGACTGTGGCAGAAGGCTAATCCCCGAAGTAGTTGATACATAAAAGACTTTACAACATCCAAATCTATCTCGCCATTAAGGCTATCGAAATATTTCTTCAAGTCCTGGTCACAATGTTCAAACACTAATGTCAATTTCTTTTCACTGTGCAATACATCATAGAGTCGCACAATATTCTTATGCTTAAGTTCTTTAAGGAGGCAAATTTCGCGTAAAGCAGAAGATGGGACGCCTTCATCGTCGTCGTCTAACCTTACGCGCTTTAAGGCCACTATTTCATGAGTTTCCTTGTTTTTTGCTTTAAAAACAGTTCCATAAGTGCCTTCCCCGATTTTCTCAAGTTTTTCATATTTCTGCATAGTTATTATATTTTTAATTGTAAAAAATAAACGAGTGTTTACTTTTCTGTAACTAGTGACACAGGCACAGAGAATCGAAGGTCTGTGTATCTGTCACACAGATCTGTCACTGTCACAAGAGATGCTAATATTGGTGATGGTCAAAGAGAAAAATAATATAATGATGATGCAAAAATGTTAACTCGATTTCACGAGATCACGGTTCATTTATTGCAGCCGTAAACTAGGTCTCAGATCTCGTGAGGATAAAATTATCTTATTTGAAGTGCGGCAGCTTGAATTTAAACGAGTCCAGGGGTCAAAATGCGAAGTTACATTTTTACAGTACTTTTGAATGCGGCCTTCTCAGCGGCTGGTTATCTGACCAGCAAAACGAGATCACGTTTAGCAGTCTCAATTCTTTGTGCTTTTTAAAATAATTCGTGGTAATTACGCGAGAGGTAAACTAAACAAACTTCTAATTTCTAATAGGTCTCTGAGTAAGGATAATTATCTTTAATTTAAAATATTATCTCAATTTATTAGTCAACTCGACTTATATAATGTGTTTGTTTTTCTCATCAAAATGTAGCAACGGATAAGTGTGATTTTTTTATGTGAAGATAGATAAAGAGCTGGAGAGTGATATAGGCTACTTTTAGTCTCATTATATTCCTACACCCATATAAAATAGGGAGTGGAAATTTGTGGAGAATACCTCAATTTTCAAGGCAGAAAGTTAAAACTTGGTATGTGGAGTTTTTGTAGCTATCGAACAATACGTGCATCATTTTTTTCGGAAATCCGCTTCCAATCCCTTAGAAGAGGAGGTCATAGTTTAGGAGACTTGTCAGTTTTCAATGTAAATAGCTAAAAATGAAGATGTATTTAGAAAAAGTTAGTTCTCGAAAGCAAACTAGATGTTACTAACGATTTTCAGTTAATGACTATAATATTAATTCAAATTAACTTAACACCAGGCTCGAAACTCCCCACGCTACCCTACACGTCGTTCAGCCGTTGCCACAAAGCGATAGTATAATAACTATTATATATATATACTAAAAATAGTATAAGTATACCTATATAGATCATAAATAATAATAAAAATAGAGTACAGATGTAGAAACTCACTTCATTGTCTCCCAAATATATTTTAACTTGATCTCTTTTCTCAACTATTTCACCACTGTCCCGTATCTTGAGTTCATAACTGATTCTACATATATCACTCCTTTGAGGTCTGGCACCTGATGCTTCATCACCTGGCTTTATTATCTGGAGGAGAAACCATATTAACCCAATTAAAAAAAAAACAAATAATATATCAAACAAAGGAATTCTTGTATGTTGTTATGTAACCTTTTTAAGCAAGGCGCCTGAAGCTAGGATATCCTGCCATTCGTCTGATTTGACATCAGCCGCCTTCTCAGCAGCTGCCGCTTCAGCTATCTTTGCTTCCTCAATTTCATGTGCTGCAGCAGAAGCTAAATCTTCAAAAGAACTGCTTTCTGACTTATCAATCAAAGTCCGTTCTTCTTCACTCATCTAAAAAAATGTCGTAATTCGATAATGATAGGTGTTTGTGATGGGCATACAAATAAAACGTAATATATTTTATAATCATTTTTTAAGTTCTCCAGAGTTTACTTAGACCATAATACATATTTAGCATATTAATACAACAAAACCTTATATTAATACAACTTCTGCTGTTCGAACGAATGTTTTTAATCTTCTGTTTAGTATCTGATCTTAGTTTTTTAATAAGATATATTTTTGAAGAATGTTGTACTTTGCGCCAACGTCATCATTATAGACGGGTGGAGTTAATTCCAACGAAAATCTAAATATATTGGCTCGGATATAAGTAAACATAAAAAACTTCGATCAACAAAGATTTAAAAAATGAAAAATGCCTAGACCTTCTATGCCATATGTATTTTATTTAAAAACTCTATTGTACTGTAATATTTTTATATACCGTATTGATTGCCATTTTTTATTATTTCACAACAATATTGTATAGATTTATCAATAATCTATAGCTTTTAAAAAACTTCCTTTATGTCCATTATTTTACCTTACGTATGTTGCAGCACTCGTCTTTTGTTTACATCGTAGTCTATGCCAAATTAATCCAAAAAGTCTGTGCAAAAAGTTGAATTGTCATCAATTTGTCATTTTATTTTCATTTGTCACAATCGCCAGTTTATTGAATTCTTGTTGAATCCTTTCTAAGATAAGCGTAATTTTTTTTTACTTCTCGAAGAAAACTTTAAAAGTGAGTTATAGGTTTTGTTGTATTAATATGCTAAATATGTATTATGGTCTAAGTAAACTCTGGAGAACTTAAAAAATTATTATAAAATATATTACGTTTTATTTGTATGCCCATCACAAACACCTATCATTATCGAATTACGACATTTTTTTAGATGAGTGAAGAAGAACGGACTTTGATTGATAAGTCAGAAAGCAGTTCTTTTGAAGATTTAGCTTCTGCTGCAGCACATGAAATTGAGGAAGCAAAGATAGCTGAAGCGGCAGCTGCTGAGAAGGCGGCTGATGTCAAATCAGACGAATGGCAGGATATCCTAGCTTCAGGCGCCTTGCTTAAAAAGGTTACATAACAACATACAAGAATTCCTTTGTTTGATATATTATTTGTTTTTTTTTTAATTGGGTTAATATGGTTTCTCCTCCAGATAATAAAGCCAGGTGATGAAGCATCAGGTGCCAGACCTCAAAGGAGTGATATATGTAGAATCAGTTATGAACTCAAGATACGGGACAGTGGTGAAATAGTTGAGAAAAGAGATCAAGTTAAAATATATTTGGGAGACAATGAAGTGAGTTTCTACATCTGTACTCTATTTTTATTATTATTTATGATCTTGAGAACACTAATTATAAACTATTTAACTTACTTAATTACTTAATAGTAGAATGATTGAAATTTCTCAATATTTGTCTACCTTTTTTTTTTAATTTTAATTGGTTTTGAATACAATTTTCTAATTTTTATTAAAATTTTGTCACAGTTGAAATTGGTGTGTTATTAACCAAAAAAAGTTGGGAATGGACATCGCAATCCAAACAAATTGCTAGAGTGACTTCTGTTCAGACCCAGAATATATGACTTTTAACTTTCCATATTTATTTTTAAAAAGTATAAACCAAATTATTATATTATAGATTAATTAAGTATTAGTCAAATCACACACAAATAGGGCTTACCCTGTATATTTAAATAAATTATTTGGTAGAAATGCTTTTAGTCAATGTTAAACATTTGCAATAAAAACAACAACTAACATTAGTACCAGTTTTTAACCAAATTGGACTAAATTAAGGCAGCATGACTCAATTTGATGATTTCTGTTCTGTCAATGTCAATTTGCTTCAGCTGACCAATGGTTTGAATCAAGTACTTACTTAAGTCCTTGTTTTATAATAAGATAGTGGTGTTTAACAAATAAAACTCACTTGATTTGATGTACAATTTTTTGGACAGGTTTTACAAGGGTTGGATTTAGCATTGACTCTTATGTATGAGGGTGAACAATGTATTCTTCAGTTAGCACCACGCTTCGCATATGGCGATATTGGTCTTAAACCTGGCGATAGTTTAGGCTTGGTGGGTGATACTGAAGGGCTCAGATATGAAGGCCCAGCTATCGGCTCAGAAACATGGCTCGAAGCTAAGTTGGAGCTCCATGACTGGAATGAAGAACCAGAGCATGAAACTCTTCCTATTGCTGAAAGAATGCAAATTGGGTAAGACTTATATAAAAATGTATGACTACAAGGTTTTATTGTTTGTTTGCTAAATGCTTTTGCATTTGACCATGACATAGTATATTTACATTCATTGATAAATATTTAGATTGCGAAATCTTCATTCATTGATAAGCAGCTTGAGTGGGTGTGTTCTAATTATGATTAGCATAGAAAGATTTTAAACCTAAAGACTAAGTTGTATGTTATTTTTTTAAAGAATTTAAATAGAAAACATTAATTTTTTGCTGCATTTTAAATAGTTATAAATAAAAAACAATCATTTTTTGTTACATTTCACAAAGTACAAAGTTGTTATAAAAGTTTATTGATCATGTAAACAACACCCTCCAAGGGTGTAACAATTTTGGTAGCTTTCATATGCAATAAAATATTGCCTAATTAACTATAAAATTAGTATAAATTAAATAATATAATATTGTTAAATGTGTTATATATATATAATATTGTAAGTAAGTATTTATTTATTGGATAATTAACAGTTATCAATGTGACTTTTTTTAATATAACACTAAAACAGCTAATAATGTATAATTAATTTGTCACAATAGTATTAGTAAGGGATTAATCAGCTTTTGCTATCAATATATAAATTAGCAGCTGTTTAACTTTATACTGAATGTACATTCAGGACCAGACGTTGTACTAGAGGCAACTGGTGGTATGGGCGTGATGAAGCTCAGCTTGCAGTTCAATTATATCGACGAGCACTAGACGTCCTCGATGAGAGTGAGGGTGGCATAACTGAACCTACTCCAGCTGGAGATTTAACACCGGCTTCTGATTCCTTGAAGTCTTTACTTGATGAGCGACTCCGTGTCTATAATAACATGGCTGCTGCACAATTGAAAGCTGGTGCTTATGATGCTGCTTTACAGGTGGGATGTCTAAAGATATTTTAAACAGTCTTTTTCGGTTCTTATTTAGAAACTGTCACTATTATACATATAATAGCGTCAAGCTCTATACTAAATACCCTTTGCGTAATTATAACTAATCGAGATTTAAACCTTCATGTCTTAAGTCTAATGAATTCATTAGGTATTTAACAAAATAAAATAATTTTATTGTTCTTGAAAGATATATTTATTTTAACTTGTCAATATGTATTGACGCGGTAGTAAAAAAAGTATATCCCGTGTCTATTAGTTTTTCATTTCTATTTCTAGGCAGTTACACGAGTACTCCAATGCCAACCGAATAACGCGAAAGCATTGTACCGCAAGTCCCGCATACTGTCCGCCATGGGTCGCAACTCTGAAGCCTTAGAGGCGGCCAGAGCTGCGGCGGCGGCGGCTCCTGATGATTCTGGCACTAGGAAGGAATTACAGAGATGTGAACAGAGAGCCAATAGAGATCGTTCGGTGGAGAGACGCCTAGCCAAACGTATGCTGGGAACCGATGAATCGCCTAAGAGTGATGGCGGCTCGCCTGATAAGAAACCGTCGCGGGCTAAGGTAAATTTAGAATGATGTATTGATAATGTTATGAGTTTAATCATCAGGTGTCAAGATATAACTTATCAATAGTTGTGATATTATTGTGGATGTTCTGAGAATTACTTTTTTAGCATTAGGTGAGGTAGTCACTTTGTTGTATCCTTATTAGTTTCGGAAACCTTGTCTTAGCTGAGTCTGCAGTAATTGGTGGGTGTTAATAATGAATGTTCTGATGGTCTGTTGTTTACAAATAATTCTCCAACATAGGATGTCGAAGACGACCGTCTTGCTGAAACTATCGCCTTTAACAAAAGTCAGCGTCACATTAAGTACAAAAATGACAAATTTCTAATCGATTTCGGTATTTAAAATGTGGAATATAGTAAAGTTCAAAATCGAGAATTTAACTTTTTATGGTTAATTTGATGTGATGCCATACACATAGCAGCATAGCATTTTATATTCATTATATCACATTTTTTTAGAATAATATGTTCATCGAAATAAATATTATTTTTTTTTTATATAAATTGTATATAAAAATTATAAAATAGGAATATTCAGTAACACGGTAATGGTGACCGATGGCCACTGCACTTTCCCTCCCTCTTACCTAATCCTAAATTCACAAATACTATATGGTAGTAAAAAAATCCTAAAATGTTTATTTATGTTAATGATAGATTTGTTTGATGTTATTCTTTTCGGGAATTTAGACAGATGAAAACCTTTCATCTTGATGTATTTGTTGCAGATGTTGGTGTGGGGTTCGCTATTGTTGAGTATACTGGTGGGCGTGGCCAGCGTACTCGTCTACCGATACAAGATACAGGCCCACTGACCGTCGCGTTACACTTTTAGAAAATGTAAGTTTATTAAGTTTACATTCACTTTACTATACTGTTACATATTAATTAATTTTCAAAACACAATAATTTACTATTGTTATATAAGGGGTGCAACCACCTAATAGGGATGATGACCACTTTTTGTTTGTTTGTCCGTCAGCTAGAGTGTTAAAAAATATTAAACACATATTTTTTTCGTAATCATAAAATTACGGCGTTACATTGAGTTAAAATTTCGCATGACGTCACGTTAGAGTACGTTTTCTACTCAACTGTGACGTAGCGAGCCCCCACTCCTCAACTTTAATGCCTGTTATCTAAGCTATTTCTTGTTAAATTGAAGTAAAAAAAATATTATCTGACTGACGGACTAAAGAGAATTGCATTTTTTTAACCCATTCGTCATCCCTATTGGCTCGTAAGAGTGCGTATTTTCATATGGAGGTTCCTAGTCTTAAATTTCTGAGCGTGCTTTTCCAGTTCTTTCAATTGACAAATGGATTAAATAGTAGTGTTCACATTTATTGCAAAAAATAAACTTGCTGTTTCAAGCTTCAGACTTCAAAAAACGAGAATATAATTTCTGGAAATTTCTTGTCTCCTGAATATTTTCACATTGGTTTTGAAGCGAAAATTCTCATAAAAGGAGCAAAGTGTACTGAACTGTACAAAACGTGATTTTATTTTCAAATTAGAATAGGCATTGGAAGTTCCTTTTTGAAGAAATAAAGATTAAGCGATATGTATAAAAGAATGTGTGTGTCGTGTGTGTGCGTGCGTGACATAGTAGACAAGTAGTGGCTGATTTTCATCGGATAGTATATTAATCGATTTAATTTGATTTTTAGATTTGAACTTGCCTCCCCTTTTGCTGTAAGGACCTCTATTGCACTCACCTTAAGCGTGAACATTCTTTTCAAATGAGTCTGATCATTTTGTTTTATATATTCACAGGTAATCGAGATTCCAATGGTGTGATTGGGAGGTAAAGGTGCACATTATATAAATAATATTTTCATGATGTATCTATATTTCGGGAAGACAAATATATGTAGCTATTTTTTAAATTTAGTTTTCTATCGAAATCCTACAAGAGACAAACAAATCTTTGCGACTTGCAAAACATATTTTTGTACTGTTTTTACTGTCCGTATTCAGTGTGTAACTAGCTTTATTCATAAATAATTAGTCTTTATTTTTCTTTATTAAATTCTTTCTAATAAAGATGGCTGCTAGTATTTAAGAGAGGAATAATATCTATCAACATTATTAATAAAAATGCCTAAATTGTATTTCTTTCAGTAAACTGTCAATTTTATATCGACGTATGTATTTTATGCAAGCTTAAGACTTTATGAAGTTATTTTTATAAATATTGTTAATAGAAAAGTCAACTTTACATCTACCTCGAACAACAGTTTGCCAATCAACTTTCTCGTCATGTATTCGGCGACCAGTCAAAACTACCAGACCGATCGATAAAGGATTGGTGTGTTAGCACCCTTATATTGATAAAACTTGAATCTCTGCTGTTAGATAAAATTCCTCTCTTTGGTATTTATATATATACTATCACTTTCTTTCTATCTATCCTGTATCTTTATATTCATATAAGTCCTGTTATTATCATGATTAATATAAATATAGTATAACGTCGCACTTAGACGATATTTATACTTATCCGGTTTGTTGTAAAAAGGTGATAGGTTAGGTTAATATTAAAAAGTTAGGTATATATTGTGGTTTAATCATACCCTTGTACTTTTTGCTAACCCGTAATATGCATTTACGTTTTAACTGTTTGCGTCTGAGTACTTATGCATTTTTCGTATTAAATAATCTTAAACAATATTTACTGTTTCAGCTCGAGCTAATCTTAACTGCTATATCATTGACGTGTATGCGATACATTTATATGACTAACTATTTATTTTATAGTTCCTTATAAGTACTTATATGTTATAATATATATTAACTTTTCGTTAATATGTGTACAGGCTTAGGATCATATGAAACTGTAACCGTGTTGTAATTATCCGACTGTCAATTTGTTAGGCCACGTGCAGACGATATTTTTATATTTAATTTTTCGTCAATTTTGTTTTGATATATTAGGTTTTTTATAAGAATATTTGTAAATTCAACTTTCAGGTTTATGTAGTCTCGACAGAGTTTACCATCGCAATCAAACCGTATTTGGTTGTTGATACATAGCAATTGTATTTTTAAGTAATATTTGAAGTATCTACAATTCAATAAAGTTTATTGTTATTCCCGCATCTAGTCGGACCGTCAAGATATTGTTCTCTAGTGATTATATTTGACAGCTTGGTATGTGGGGTTAGCTATGGATTAATAGTAAGTGGGTTTAACTATGGATTAATATCAATAACGACACAGCATGCTCAGGAGATTCAATCCTGCCAATGTAAACGTAATTATGGCGTGTTAATGGCATTTCAATAGCAGCTTTTTAGATACAGTTCTTGTTATTATATCAGAAATTAACAAAAGTGTCTCATTGTTTCATCAAGACGCTATTATGCGTATGCGGGTAGTCAGTCGTTAATACGGAGAATTAAATGTCCATCGTATCCGTACTAAATATCCGTCGTCTGTACGTGGCCTTATAGACTACAAAAATAGTAAAACGTCTCCCCTAAACTTTTTGCAGACATGATTTTGAGGTGTGTTGCAGGAAATTTTGTATTAGGGTAGGAAATTTGTAATTTTCTAGTCTTAATTTTTTATTATTTGATATGTATAATTTTTTATTAAATGAACACACTGTAATAAGAATTGACCACAATTAAAAATATGTACATGAAAATGCCGGTTACAATTATTCCTAGTCATGTCTCCTTTAAAAGGTTTATATCAAACTATTATTTTCACGGCTTTACGTAAAAAGTGACTCTAGTTAGTGCCAAAATTGGAAGCGAAAATTTATTTTATATTTATTCAATGTTATCAAGCACTCTGAGTATAATATTTATCCGAAAACAGATTTATATTGTATAGAAGCCGATGCGAGAATATATTTTTTGATACTTTACTAGATTAAGCACAATTATCAGAGAGCAATTTGTGAACGCATTCCATATATTTCCATTCTTATTAAATATATTTGCTTTAGGTACTCGAGCTGATTTACATAAAGGATGTTCGTTAGTCGACTTAAAATGTAAAGGGCACACGGCTTTAACTCAGCACTTGTCATTTAAAATTCACCAATATGATCCACTTTGTCCCTGGCATTCTTGAGATGGGACTCGAACCCCATGATCTTTCGTAAAATATTCTTAATGAAAAATCATCGCGCGGATTTTTCACGATGATTTTTTTTTTCAGTATATTAATATATTAAATTTCGTAACGTCAATATGAAAAAAAAATATTGGTTTTCTTTTTATAATGTCGTTATGAATTTTATGATATACGATTTAATGCTCATATTAAACGGCAAGTAAACCGCAAGGTTGGATCCGTGCCGTGTTAGTGTGTTATGATCTTAAAAGTTGACATAATGTTTTGCTTAAATATTATATAAGCTTATTATTTTTTTACTACATTTAACAATTATATGCATTATGTTACTATAAGACGTAAAAAAAATACTAAACTTACAGATTAACTCGAAAATCGAGCTTTCGTAAAATCTATTGCATTTTATTCAGACTGTTAATTAGTTTATCAACATTCTATCCGTAAATTGGCTCAGTTTTGCTTTCAATGCGTATTAGATATTTATATTATAAAATTTGGTATTTGGTACGCGATTTTTTAATGTCTTATTTGTTCTTATATATTCTTTTTCGAGTCACACCTTCGATAGTGCAAAGCACATTTTTAATAGTTTTTGTTAATTTTGCAAGCATGACTTAGAATAAACAATCAATAAATTCTTAAAAATATTTATAGCTTTTGATTCAAAATTATTAGGTTCCATTTCCAATCAATAAAAGGTGGTGAATTTATATTAAAATAAAAAAAACAGTCTTAGCGTGCTATATTGATTTAACTACGCGTTAATAGCACACAGTTCATTGCTCCTGTGTTGTTTTCCACTTTGTAATTTTGAATATAACACATTTTTTGTTGGTAGAAATTTCTTGTGGACGAATTATTATTAAAAAAATAACCATAAAGTCACAGAGTAATTACAGTAGTGCAATTAACAGGGGTAAAATTGGCAGAAAACACTGCGTACTCTGTAAATGAGTTCAGATTGATTACATAACCAAGAATATGTTTTTAAAGATAATTTTAATCGATCTGAACTGTCTTAGAAACGTCCCAAAATGTATACCTTTTATGCTTTTCTATCAATATTGACCACATAAAAAAAAAACTGTTTTTCAGTGAAATTGTATGAAAACAGTGTTTCAGTGCTTTTAATTTTGTTGGCAGACTGTTAACATGTTCACAAAGTGTGAAAATTGTAGAGTATTTAGATTCTTATTAGTTGGTACCTGCGATAATTGTCGAGTAAACTGGGTTCATTGCTAGGTTTACCAATTTTATCACTAGTAAAATTGTCGTTTTCATATCTTACTCTTTATAAATATTATAAGACTTAATTTCTCTACAATAAAGTGCATAATCAATTTCTGAGATGTTTTGTTGTAACCTCCTGCGTCGCTGTCATCTATTAATTCTGAAATCTAAGTTACTCTTTCTCTATATATTGTTACATAAAATATACTTACCGATTTTTCACTTTGTGATATTGATAATAGAGTAGTTTTTACTGTTGCCAGTAGAAGTCTTGATCGATATTAATATTATCGTGGCTGTTAAGGATGCAAGTATATTTACATACAACTTGGAACGTCCGTCGTATCATTTATTTAGATTTAGTTATAATATTGGCTTGGTATAAGATGTTATTGTATATCTAGAAAAGTGTATAGAAAGGTGGTTTCAATAAAAGAACTGTTGAAGGATTGTATGTGTTTTTTTTCTATGTTAAAACGCCATTCCAAATAAGTTCAATTACAATTACTCAGTTGAATTACAAAGTAATAGTTTAATGGGCCTTAACCTTTTGGCTGATGTCCCAAAACACCTATAAAAATATATTTGGAGCGTGGGACCCTGATTATTTGTGACCGTACCTAAAGGCCACAGACCTCGAGGTACGGTCGTCTACGTAGCCACTTCCCCCTCTTTGAAGTTTGGAGAGCCGTCATTCATTCGTTTATATATCATATATTATAAGTTACACTATACATAACTCAACTCAACTATACATAATACATCTGAAAGACATTAATGAAATAAAAATAATTATGATGGCAACAAAAATAATTAAAAAATGTATGTAATTTTTTAATATTAATACATTCTGAAACTTAATATGACTTTTTTTTTCAAGTTAGTCCTTGTTTTTTACATTTTACAGCCAACCCAACAAATTTCTTCACCTCATTTTTTGCCTTAATCTATATTAGAGTCCAAAATCCACAATGCACATTTTGCGGTCGCAATTTTCACCTCTATAGGGATTTATTTTCAGTGTGGAGATAGGTGTAGAAGGTTAGGATGTAATATTGAAAAATAAATCATATAGTTTTTATTACCACGGATCCGAAACGTAAAACACATTCTATAAATAAATTATACGCAATTAAATTCGTTCAAAAATTGAAACAATATCTTTCAATATCTCTTTTTCAATATTTTCTCACTTAGTTAATCATAAAAAAAATACAAAATCATGTCGAAGATAGAGGCCAGCAACCTTATTAGACTAAAGAGCCAAAAAAATATTTGTATTTGAGACTTCATTCAATCATAGTCAGTAGTATGGTATGTGTATTCAACTATAAATCAATAACACGGATTAAAGGGTGGGAGGTAAAATAATTATTTTATGTAAATGGAATTTGAGAACTGCAGCTTGCGAAGTATTTGGAAGGTTATTCAATCGAAAGAGTCGTACTTGGCAGGTTGCCGACTCCTGGTCCAAGGGATAGTATTATTTCTTAACATATAACATTAAATACAAGTAGATTTAAATGGAATCACTCATTGGTTCTCTGTGTCATACAATTATATGTATACTCATTAAATTATAATAATAATAAAAATGGCGACTTAATCTATATCTCGCAGATAAAAAGGTCCGTGTTATAGAATGTAAAACTTTACAAACTACATAAGCTGACGATGAAACATTTGTTCTCAGGGAATCGAACTACCATTTAAACCTGTTATTCCCATATACAAAACTCCAGAATAAAAAATATTTAAAAAAGAAAGTATACATAAAAATATATTTTCCGTAAATTACATATATACAAGGACGAAATGTATTATATTTAAAATTTAAATTAAATTTCGGCGGCATAACTTTTTTTCACAGCGATACAGCCATCGTGCGGCTTAATGGGAATTCTAATTTACAACCTTTATACCTTGAAGAAATCGCAATCGCAAAGTAATAAGTTATTTTATATATTTATTCATTATTATAGCATAAAATGCAACATTATTTAGAATTAGTCCAGCAAAACCGTATAAACGGTTTGACTGCCGAATCATGAGCCTCGTCTAGAGAATCATATGACATAATTGATGAAGTAATTTCTTAATTTTATGCAAAACTTACTTTTAACAATCTGGGTTTGTCCGCGGGAAAATAATAACCAATTTATGATTTAATATAGATAAGTAGTAGCTCGGTGGCGTAGTGGATAAGCGCCGCGGCCCGCGATCGTAGTCGTTAAGCAACTTTTCGTTAAAGGGTCGGTCACGGGATGGGTGACCAAAAATTATTGTCTCGAGCTACTCCGTGCTTCGGAAGGCACGTTAAGCCGTTGGTCCCGGCTGCATTTGCAGTTGTTAATATCCTCTAATCCGCATTGGGCCAGCGTGGAGGGTTATGGCCCATCCTCCTTAACCATCCATAAGGAAGGCCTGAGCCCCTGCAGTGGGGACGTAAAAGGGCTGGTGATGATGGATAAGTCATGTTCTCCTCTGCCATGGTGATTAGTCGCTAATAAATATTTATGTTTCAAAGCAACCGGAAGTATTTTACATATTTTAAACAATATTCTATCGTCCTCCTTACAGTTAGCATTTATTTAGCGATAATAGGTAATACTAGAATTTTTAAAAGAAATTTTTAAACATGTAAAAACAACTTAAAGTATATATAATAAATTAATAACGGACTTTAGCAGCCCCAAAATAGAGACAATTTGAAAACCTTAATCATTTAAACCAATTATTCATCATAGCCTGGATTTATAAGTGAGAGCACGTGATAACCAACTCGTGAAATGTGTTAGTCCCACGATCTGTGCTAGTGTACCCAGTGCTTGTATAGTGAATACTGTCCCTACAAAATCGTACAAAAGTTTGGGCGAAAACACTGACCAAACAAACAAGTGATGTTTAAATAATATGGCTATGACACAATATATGACTAAAGCGTAGACTCTTTGGAAGGCGAGTATGTTGCACGCCCGCCACAGTGACTGTAAGTATCTGAAATATATATAGAAAACAACAGTTATTTATCTATCACGTTATGACCACAGATAATGAGGAAGAATTAAAAAAAATGAAAGCACTAAAATAGCACCTCCACTAGATGGCGACTCTAGCAAAACTTGATTTTTGCAGGAAACGAATGGACCAAATTTTCGTTAATTTTCGCCAGTCATTTTCGTTCCTTTTAAACATATTAAAAAAATGAAATTTGAAAAGTTCGAATCTTAGATATCAATACAAATACGAAAAAGTACAAATAGAATATGAGTTGTTTATTGAGTTTTAAAAACTAATTTAATTTTAAACATGAAAGAAAACCGGAAGGGTTGTCATGGAGAAATCAAGAACGTACCGTAACGACATCTAGTTTGATTTCGGGAACTAATTTTTTTTTTAATATTTCCTCATTCAGGTTAAAGTAATAAATAATATTCTTTCTCTGATTATGAATTTACAATAAGATATAATAGGTATGATGACTGGGTTAAAAAAAAAAGAAATTCTATTTGATCCGTCATATCCGATAATAGAAAAATATTAGACACGTATTTTTATTTGTTCCAATTTAACAAGAAATGGCTTAGATAATAGGCATTATAGTTGAGGGGCGCGGGTTCGCTACGTCACAGTTTTGTAGAAAATGTATAAAAGCGTGACGTTATGCGACATTTTAACAAAACAAACGAACAAAAATTAGTAGTCAACCCAATTGATGTGGCTCACTGGTATACAGTCAATATCACAACAGGTTTTACAAATCTCAAATTTCTCCATTTGATTATAAACTTTAATGAATCGAGAGTAGAGTAAAATTTTATTAAACTATAAAAAAAATTGGATGACAATATTTTAGACATAATTTGTCATATGTCGAATAAAATACCCGCCAATTGTTAATACATCTGCCCGCCATTTTGGTGACGACCGTTAGCAAATAAACACTGATCTGGTCAGAAATCACAAAACTGGCTAGATACATCTGCGCGAGCGTAATAGCAATATGTTTGAGCACGAGTGGAAGAGATATGAAGTGTCGGGTCATTGTACAAAATTTCTGTGGATGTTAACAGACAAGGCATTAGCTATTTGAGGGAGCATCTTGCCCCCGTTTTCTGAATTGTGTATTTAAAGTAAAGCACGTCTAAAACTGTATTTATCATAAAGAGGTTTTAGTTTCTGATTTTAATTTCTTAATGATCACTTGCTTGTAATTTGATATAAACTAGAATTTTTTGCCATGTGAAAAGTAAAGAAACTTAAGTTATTGAGAATGATCAGGTGGAATTTTGTACTGTTCTCAATTAAGAAACAGGCCGTTATACTAATGATAGTGCAAATAAATAATTTGTATTTCAATATACGGGCGGTATACTCACTGTTCCCAGGCGGGTGCTTGGGCAGCTAACGTGCTAAATAGAGTGGCGCCAGCGATAGCGGGTCCCGCGTACGCGTGGAGTCCCATCCGCGCGGCGACACGGAACGGACAATACTCGCGCAAGCCCACATAACCAGACCCAAGGTCTACTGATGCGAGACTGTTGGAATTGCCCTGCACGATATACAAATTCAATGTAGTTTAACCTAGTACACGTACAGGGGCGTCGCCAGCCTGTGGCCCGGGGGGGTGAGTCAAGTTGATTATGGAGAATGAGCTAAGTATGAGCTCCAGGTAAAGTAGAAAACATATGAAGCTTTTTACTTGCAGTACAAGCCTTACATCTGGCAATTTTAATAACAACAGTAGAGTCCAAATTGTAAAGTTACACGGAGGATTATGACATTAGGCACAGTTAAAGTTTATATGGATAAGTGTTGAATGGTAATATATATATTTTTTAATATTACTTAAAAATACATTAAATTAATAAAGAAAACATTACACACACTACCATGCATTTGACACGTTTGTGTACTGAATGTCAAACAATCCTAAAGAAGCATAATATTGTCGAGGATTGGACAGATCAATCCTGATTGGTCTGCTTACATATCTATCAGCGTTACATATTTAGGGATTAATTTGGACAGATCAATCTGGGCTTTAGTTACGCGGTAATCATGCAGATAAGGAGATAGAATGCTAAGCTTAATTACATTGTTTGGCAAATAGTTAAGATCATTACAGTTAATTCCCTCTTTTTAAATGCAAAAAAAGGAGACACAAGCTGTTAATATATCTAATCTTTATTATATTATTTTACAAAACGCATACGATCATACAGCAATAGGACTAACCTGATAGAAGAAAAACACAGCTCCAATCCACAGGTGCACTAAACTTTGACTCAAGACGTCAACTATCTCAGTGTTCCTTCCCAACTTTGTATCAAGCAACTTGTGGTCCAAACATTTAGCTGTTAATACACACGTTATATAAACACTTGGAACCATTATTACGTTGTGGGGTCTCATCAGTAGAACCACAATAAGCATCAAACTATTCAACATCAGATGCGTAAGTGATCTCGCTAGGTTAAGTTTGATTTCCTCGAGATTCCAAGGCTCTTCCAACATTGTATCGTAGAAGTAATCCTCGGTTTTAGCTTTAGGTTTGTTGTATACAAACTTGGTGTTAGGCTTAATTGTTGGATTGACACCGCACATTTTGAATGTTCCAATATAAGTTAGTATTTCGAAAACGAATTGGCCAATCAGTAGGCCCCAGAAAATATTAACTATTATAACAGTATCCCATTTCTCCACTTCAAGGTATGGTGCGACGATCGAACCAGTAGCTATTCTGTATGCAATAATCATTAGAGTTTGGAATACTGTAAATGCTGAGTGCATCTGCATGATGTTGTTTGAGAAACGAAGGTTCCACATACATACTATTAAAGTTCCTAGTGTACCTGAAAAACAGTCCGTAAACAGTTTAAAGTATTGAAGTTGAAGTATACAAACATCAATGCACAGAAATAATATTGAAGTTACATTTTAAATTAATCCATATAAATCAAAGCAAGGGCTATAAAGATTACAAACAAAGAAAAAATAGAAAATTTTAATCATTATAGAAAAGTTCCAGACGACTTTTAACCTTGATTCAATGACAGTTAAATGGTAATCTCCAGGGCCCGATTTAAGGGGGCAAGTAAAAATGAGGACGAAAGAGAGATTGGATAGCCCAATTTATGTAAAGATATATACCATAAATATTATATATTTTACTTTTTAGATACGTACCGACAAGTAGATGTATTTCCAGTAACCAAGCGTTATCGGGCTCATTAAGCCAATCGGCTGTATCTGGTAGAAATAACCACCGGTCACCGGTCTGATTCATTGTTCTTAGATATCTATGCAACAGATAACAATTGTTTTAATATATTTTTTAGGTATTATTATTATTACAATTTTTTTAAATAATACATATACGTATATGTAGGGACAGTTCATTTGTACCCCACTCGACATATAGTGTATTCCACATACGCAATACTTGCAGTATTTCTGTCAAGCGAATAGGGAGATGTAATTATAGCTTACATACTTATTTTGTTCGGGAATAAATTTTAAATTTATAATAAAAAATAAATTATAAACATATTATAACTAGGTCTTGAACAGTATGTTCTTTGAAATTGAGAAGAAGAAATCTATTTGCTTACCGATGTAAAGCTATGAGCAAAATCCATTTGGGCAACATTGCTAAGTTCGCATTCATCTTCTTTAGCAGTTCAGGCTTTTCTTGTATTTCTGTCGAACCAGTATACACTTTCCCCAAATACAACAACAGAACTGTTATAGTTCTTACTAGCACGAATAGCATAAGGGTGTTCCAGAAGAAATACCACGTCATGTGTTCCTCTTCTATGAAACTAGTGCCAAAGAACGACCACGCGTGGAACACTGTTCCGAAAATTAGTAGGTAATCAATGGCGTTCAGATCTTTCAACGGCGTCAAATCTTTTATCTTTTCAAATGCCGTTTTTATTATGAAGTATGTCATAGTGAACGCGCAGGCTATTAGAATGAAAGCTACTCCCCATACTGAGTGGAATGAGCATACTCTACTCTTTGTTTCAGTGATGAAGCAAGCGATGGTGAGTATGGTTGTAACGACTGCTAGTATGACGAAGAACGCGAGGAAACCTCCTATTCTGGTGGTCTTATGGTGGGTCAAACTGATTCTACGCCTTTGGTCTGATTGCAAAGAGTATAGGGTTATGCAAAGAAGAGCCATTACAATCTGCGAAAAAGTTTTTCATATCAGTTTAAAATATAAAAGTGATAATGAATAAGTGTACGACGAACTGAAGTTTAGATTGTGGTTTAGTTTTATTGAAATTGATTAACTTTAAAATTACATTCTGCATAAATCAAGCTAAATGTCATCATCAAGAATATTGAGTTTGGTCTTTTCTAGAAAATATCTTGAAGATTTTCTAATGTAAGTCAGCTAGACTTTTAATAATACTTACGAAGTACAGAAGTGTAGTGGCCATCACGAGGGCGAACATATCAAAGTTGACTGTAGTCTCACTAAGATATTTGGCCATTTCTGATAAAGATTCTTCATAGAACTCTTTGGCGATTTTAGCGGCGCTCTGTTGGCCAGTAGCTAAATAATGAGCGAATTGCTTCTCTGCCCTTTGGAACTGTTTGAAGAACTCTGCGAGAAGATATATGACTTTATAGATGTCGCTAGTATCTGATCTTCTGATTAACAAAAGATGTCGAATTTCGTCATCAATTTTGAACTAAATTATACATGTATTAAGGATTCCACTTCGATTGGAGATTGGTTGTTGTATAGTAAATGTACTTTCTCTGCTGTCTTATTATGAAGTGTTTTAGGAAAAAAATAGGAAGGTATATAAATAATAAAAAAAAGGATGACTCTTTTCACCTCTTTAAAACCATGGAAAATATGTTTCGTCTCAACCTAACTATATAAAAATTACTAGCTTACGTCAGCCGCTTCGCCCATGTGGTCCCTAGGGAAATGTTTAGTGATATAAAACGTTTCGTATTATCTAAGTCGGCTAATATCCTATCTGTATACCAAATTTCATCAAAATCCGTTCAGTAGTTTCGGTGTGATTGACAGACAAACATCCAAACAGACAGTTTTGTATAGTCTTATGTGCAGTTGACCGGATATAAAACATTTTTTATATTAATTAATTTATTATAATCTGGCTTTTTGTCAATTATTGCTGAGTCTGTATTGACTTTATGTATTGCTAACTTTCCGCCAGCGGCTTCACTCGCGTGTTACGATGGCGTAATTTTCGACTTTCACAAGTGCTCTATAAAAGCCTAAACTGAATAAAGTTAGTATGAAAAATCGGTCCAGTAATAAACAAACAATCAAATCTTTCCTCTTTATAATATTAGTATAGATTATAATGTACATTAGTTATAGTTACCTGCGTCGGTCGGTATGGTAGGTTGTTTAGCGTTATGTGAGCTCATCACATGAAGTAAATAGAGATGTTGTCTCATATCTGAGGGTAGGAGAGAGGGCAGTATCCGGCCGGTATTGTCTCCTGGCGGCGGCGCGTTCAGCAGCCAAGCGACAGATGGAGCCACGTCCACTTGTGCCACAGTCGGCCCTGGACCTGCACTGTATGCGAATACCTAACTATTGGCCCATTTACATTGGTCATGAGATGAGTTATGTGGCCTCATTTCATTGGTCTATAAATCAATAACAGGCAATGTCATTGAGCCACAGAAAGCGCCTAAATAGGGCCTACCCCTACCCAGCAATATAAATTATCCATAAGAAAAATCGTCATGATTTCATTCTTTTCGATTGTCAAAACATGATGTACTAATTACTTATGTAAGATTTTTTTGAAAAACTATTAACCCCTTACCGTATAAAAAGCTATAAATGACTTCTAAAGTTAATATTTAGTTTTTAACATAATAAGTTATAGTATTTTCGTAAAAAAATTAAACAATATTCTACATTCATTCGTGGAACGGAACGTATTTTTTGTCTTTGGTAATTTTAAGCTTTCAAATTATTAGATGTATTTAGTGATAATTTTATTATTGTAAAAAAACAATCAAACGGTAAGTAAAGATTGCTAGAATTTTAAATTGCATTCATTGTACGTTTATGAACAAGAAATGCTTAAGATTTCTGTGCTTTGTTCTATTTTCTTTGGTTCAGTTTTGGATCAGTTTTGAAATTGCTTTTTTGGTTTCGTATGTGTACTAAGCAAAATCACTGTCTGTCATGTATGGCTATGAATGCATTTAGTGAATTTTGCTTTTCCTGTCAGTAATTAATCCTTGGCGCTTCTATGGTACTTCCAAACAAGAGCTGAGGCTTCTAAGGTACGGAATGTCCCCAAAAAACGCGGTTGTCTATTTAGCATCCTAGAGACACCGACCTCAAGCAATGAAAGTCAATGACCGAACGAATGAGTGATAACTTAAATAGTATACGCACGGGTGTGGGCACTCGAAATCTTCGCTCTTGGCGACCACCAGTGGCACTAGAACCTCCGCCGGAGTTGCACCACCGTGGCCACCAGCGTCTCGCATCCCGTGGTCACCACATATAAACAACACCCCAGTACGACCCTGGTGATACATTAAATTTATTAAAAGCTTAGACAGTCGTGTTTGTAAAATAATTGACTGTTATTGTTTTTTTTCCTTTTAAACGATTTCAAAATCGAAAAAGAGGAGGTTTTGTTTCAAACAGGGTTCGTAATTATAAAGGTAATTATTTTTTAGAAATAAAATTATCCGCAAAACATCTGATGTTTAACCGTAGTTACTGGCAACAATTTTTAATATACCAAAGACATTCATAATTAAATAATCTTTTATTTGTTCTTTTAAATTTTAAAAATTAAACAAAAAATAATGCCTGTGAAATCAAATTAAAGAAAAAGTGAAATGAATATCTAATTTCTTTTTTATAAAAAATAGGCTTTTGCAGGTCCATCCGAGACAATTTTCTCTATCAAAAAAAACCATAATTGATAGTTGTTTAAAGATTCCCAAAGGGTACTTTAAGACTTGTTATTAAAGAATAACAAGTCTTATAGTACAAAAAGAGTATCTGTAGTGTTTTATTATTATCGAGAAATATTTATAACTCCGAAAACAAAATCAAATCAAATTAAAATCATTTATTCGGTCTTTGGCGGGAGACCTTATACCGAGAAGAATGTTATTTCATACAGACTCGTCAAGATTGAAAAATGACTTCATTAAAATGTGAAGTCACTTTATAGTACAATATTAGACATTATAAAAAAGGCACAAAAATATTTATTATGAACTCGTTACTCGATGTTTGATCGATGGCGATGTATGTATAATGTCGTTGTGATTTATAAACCAAACAAAAACCTATTATAACTACTCCTCTATTACAGTTGGCGAAGTATCGATTAATCAATCAAAATGTTGACTCATATACTCATTGACAAACAAACCAGCCCTACCAGCAGGAATGGTTATAATGAATTCACATTTTTTTGTATGTTGGTATTGATATTTTAGATGGTTTAATAAAATATAAAACCTTTTGTTTGGTCGCCATCCAATAACAATGTCATAGAGAAATTTTCTCCTTCAAGTAATTTTGTAATAGTACATTACGATATTAGTGCGTTATGATGGTTATAACATGCGAGGCGGAATTTCAGCCCGAGCCGAAGGCGAGGGCGTAATTGAGTCGAGCATGTTATAACCAATACGCACGTATATCGTACGACGTTTTTTAACACATTTGCGAACAAAAAAAAGAACATTAAATAAACTCAATCTGTGAATGTACACTGTTGCTTTCCCGCCATTTTACAGCGCGCTAGCGCTGCCTACTGACTGGCGCCGCGCAGCGATTAGTTCGAAATTTGAATAGCAACATGCGCGAAATGGTTAATAATACTGTTATGGAATTTGTATGGACTATAACCTATTTGCTTTGGTAACACACGCGTTTTTTATGACCCGCTTTACATATTTAAAACCGGTGGAATTACATCAGCTTTACGAGCAAAGGTGTTAAAAAGCATCTTAACAACTACTTTCATTGTGATCGTACTTACTTACCCATTTCTGCATAGCGCTAAATATCTTCTTTATGATGTCATCCATTTCTTTAAGCTTAACTTTAATTTTGGGGCTACGAGCACCTTCTAAATGTCCAATATGATCCAATCCTAAATAGTGTAGCACTAGGAAATCAAAATTAGGATTATTTTTGTCATTCGGTGCCAAAACTTTATCTAAATGTCTTGTTACATTATTGTCCACCTGAAACCAAAATTTTTATTTTTATTCGATTAGCTTTTCGCGCTATAAGTTGAACACTTTTATGACGCTTTTATACACACACGCACACAGACTCACATCCAATATCAATCTCACTCACACTTAGTGGTAGATTTTTATCGTTTTTTAATTTATTTGAGCAAATTACACTATATTACATTTTTGAGAGGTAGTAGCCGGGAATTCCATAGAATGGAGTCTATCTAGTTTGGACTCCTTTCTTCTACATGAATTTTGTTTTTGTATATGCTATACATGTGTTGTTCTAAATATTGAAGATTTTTTTTAAAATTATCAACAGTCTTTAAAAACGTATGTAAATAATCGCAGGTCATTACCTCAGTATAATCAGTAACATAGAATGAGGTAGTGCCATCAGATTCGGCCCAGAGACCAGGGAATAGTCGTAGCCACGTATCATCTCCGTACATAATTGATCTGCGCCCTCTGTCGGCAGCGACGCGCAACACGCTGTCTCCGCGAACTGCGGGCGCACCGAAGTTCAATGCGACATCAGCGAACGTCGACACACTTCCAGTCATCATAGCCTGTTTGAAATATTTTCATATTTAAATCTCCGTATAGTCTAGCTTACTTTTTTTGTCTTTGGAAGATCTCTATGTTAAATTAATCTCAATACAAATATGTCTAATAAGTTTAAGGATAATTCTCTTAAAGCTGAACGGTCACTATGTGCGCACGCACGAGCACGTTGCGTAAAACAAATTGTGCGGATTTGCCAAAGTCATACGTTAACTGTATCGAGATGTTTCCTTTGAAATTAATACGTATAACGTTATCGGCAAGAATCGCGGCTATTTTCTTATATAATACGTACGGTCGGTACAGCCGTTATGGATAGTGTCCGTGCGGATTGCTATTCAAATTCATAAAAAGCTACGGAAAATCCGTTGCGTGCGTATGAACATAGTGGAGGGGCGCCTTAAGAGCCATATGACATGCAAATTATCACCAAATTTGAAAAAAAAAAAATGATTTTAGACAGCATTATAGTTTTAGGTTTAGGTGTCTCGGCTGTCCCAGTTCAAAACCTAGTAACTGTTTTGGACTAAATTTTACAGGAGAGCAAAAAAACTCTTTTTAGGTAGCTCTTTTAAACTATTTAACACCTGTTGAGAAATTATTATTTACAAGAAGGAGTAGTTTGAAACTGTTAATTTGATATATAAATTATTTGTCTAAGTTTCATTCTACAAATTTTATGAGCTAAAATAATTTTAACAATAAAACGTCTAAGTAAAAATTGACTTCCAAACCATTTCAAACCTAGTAAGTTCTTTTACTAGATTTTGATCTGGTTTAACATATTAGCTAAAAATCAGCTTATCCAGATCAAAAGCTAGTAAATTAAATTTATACAGCCATTTACACATGTATTTGTGTTTCATTAGGCGGTATTCATTTGTTTTTTTTTTCTTCTATTTGTTCTATTTACGTCACCCAGTATTAAATATGGAAAAATTGAAATATCGTGTTATTTACGAGTACGAGTTCCACCATGGTACCAGTGCTGCGGAAAAGGCTCGAAGGGTTAATGATGTGTATGGCGGTTGTATCGCAAAAGAAAACACAGTACGTTTTTGGTTCCAACGTTTTCGTTCTGGAAATTTCGAGCCTCATGGACGGCCGGAGACCCAAGTTTATAATGAAGAATTGAAGGGTATTGTGAAAGTGGACTAGTGCCGGTGTCGTTTATTAGAGTTTTCTCAAATCTGGCCAGACGATTACGGCAGACGTCTATTGTCAGCAAGTGCAAACCATGCTGGAAAAACTAGCTGTTAAACAACCGAGGCTGGTCAATCGCTCTACGCCACTGCTACTTCACGATAACGCTAGACCACACGTTGCACAACAGACGGCTACCAAATTAGAAGAGCTTCAATTGGAATGTCTAAGACATCCACCGTACGCCCCAGACCTTGCTCCAAAGATTACCATTTTTTCGAAATTTGGATAACTTCTTGCAAGGAAAAAAAATCAACTCCTATGGGGCAGTGCAAATCGCCTTCAAAGATTTTATTGATTCCCGTCCGAATGGTTTTTTCAGTAAGGGGATCAATGACCTACCTATGAGATGACAAAAGTGCATAGATAACAATGGTTTATACTTTGATTAAATAAATATAGTATATTAAAAAATATTCGACTTTTTGTTGATGCCATACTAAACACCAATTTCATATGTAAGGACCTAATATATTGTAATGGGGGCAAAACATTATATTTAAAGTTATTAAACGGCGACTTGTGATTTCATCTACGTGGACTCTTCGACACTGACTGAGCTTTCGACTACCGACTATAAGTTGTGAACATCAACTCATAATGTTAATTAAGAGATTGCTCATAATAACTCGGTTCTATATTTCTCTCAGTATAATTTATATATGCATATTTGTCCTGTTTTATTGAATAAATAAAATAAATTTACGTCTTCTTTAGAATGAAATTTTAATTTCCGCTAATATAGCTCCCAAGAAGTTATAGTGGTTTAAGTTAAATACTCAAAATGGGCATAAGTTAGACGACATAAGTTTGGGAACCTCTGATCTAGTCTATGGTTCCATTGCTAATTTAACTTTTTCTTGATGTTCTTTTTGTTTAGTCGAAATATCTTCTGGCACTTCAGTACCTTTATGTGTATTTCTCTTAATTTCTACTTCAAAAAATGAACAATCCGCGCACTTATTGTCTTTTGGCATATTAAATGAAATATTAAGTCTTTTAATTGTTTGTCGATAAACTTCTACACTACAGCGAAAATCTTTACCTACTACTATAAACTTAGTTAGCAAAACTTAGTAACTCAATATTTTAATGTCTTACGAAAACCACAAAATATTGTTTCTATACATTTATTCACTTCATAACCCAGTAACTAGATTTGACAATTTCAAAAACCTAGTATGTGCTAACACATACTAGAATTTTGAAATAGTTAAAGATACATACTAGGTTTTATAATGGTTAAAACTTAATTTTTATAAATTAAGAAGCACTTACTAGGTTTAGGCTACGCTATAACTTTTGATAGAAGTGAATTTTGATATAGGGTATTTTGGCATCTTGTGGGGACTTATTGGAAAACCACTTTTAACAAAAAAACACAATTTCTACTTTTTGTAGACTTACTAGGTTTTGAAATGGGACAGCCGGTCTGCACTGAATAGTTTTAGGATCAGTGTGAATCTGAAGAATTTGACAACGCTTGACGGACCCAAGCGTCGCAAGGAAGTTGTATGTGCTACAAAGAGACAGAACTTCTGTCAAGCGTCCATTGTGCAAGCATGAATGGTATAATATTAGATAATTTTGTAGTCCTGATGTTCCGTGACCAATGAGATATGATGCATATTCCGTCAGACATGCATCGACCAGGACATTCTATTTAACTTAAAATTATTAGTCCCAAAAAGGTAGTGAAATGATAATAAAGATTAATAGGTTATCAACAGAATAAAACCATTAATATTCACAGTCCCTTTTTTTTTTATATTTTATTTGCCAAAGCAGTTATTTTTTGTGTCATGCATCAAACCGTGAAATCAATACATGGAGGTGTACTTTTAATATTTCTACTGGAGTCATGCTTTGCAGAGTGATAATATCACAATTAATGCAACAATGTAAAATTGGAAATTTCTTTCATGTTGTAACAGAATACTATAGTGTAATTAAATGGATAATTAGAACGCAAAAAATATAACAAAGCAAATCGAAAATAGTAATCTATTTTAATAAATGAATGTTATGTAATGTGAAGTGAAATGATAATATAAACAAAAAATTGTTATCTGCTATGCTATTTTGTTAAAAAAGAGCCTTAAAATCTTCATCGGACGCAGTGCTGTCACGTCATAGAGCTTTAATGAAATAAAATAATTATTAACATTTGAAGTTTTCGAAGACAAGTTCAAGTCTGTTTTATAACATAATTACGATTATTACGAACAATTTTTTTTTTTTACCTGAACCTGGTAGATTAAAAAAAAAAAGGAATATAATTCACGACGATGAACACAACATTAAATATGTACTGATCACAAATTTTCCCATATTATGGCGTTGGTTAGCTGGTGTTAGCAGCAAATAAGGATGACGACTGGGTAAAAAAAGGGGTAAAATAGCTTAGTTAACCGGCATTAAACTTAAGGAGAGGGGCTCGTTACATCACACTTTTGTAGAAAAAGTACAAAAGCGTGTCGTCACGTGACATTTTAACTCAATGTACCGCCGTAATTTAATGATTACGGAAAAATACGTGTTAAATAAATGTTTTTCAACAATCTACATGACGGACAAACAATTAGTCGTCATCCCTATTATATATATATATGAAAAAACTACATATTAATTTATATTGAAAACATGCATAAAAAACATCAGACATTAAGCACAGAACCAAAGAAAAAACTGATACATATTGCACTAATAGTTTTCTACATTAATAGTTTAAAAAGTATTGTCAATATAATTATGAAATATTATTGACGTTTTTTCTTTAGTCATTGTATTAAAACAGCTATTATGCTTTATAATTACAAAAGGTGACACTTGCAAATATATCCCGCCAGAAGTTTATGGTGCGTCTCCACTGTGCCTTTAGGATCTTTCTCTCTGGTGACTGTACATAATATAAGGTATATTAATAAAAAATACTGTCAATAAATGGTGATGAGTTTTGTCACATATGCAACATTATAATTTATATTAAAGTTTTAATTAAAATTATAATATATTTAATTATTATATTTAATATTTAATAATTAAAATTATTATAATTTAAATTATAATTTATATTTTTTTTTATATATTATGATATCAATATAGTCTCTTAATTGATATAAGAATATTGTAAAATAATTACTGACATCCAACAAATATTTTTACTCTATGATTTGAGATTTTGATAAAAATTCAGAGTAGATGTTGTGATTGTGATAAAATAGGGACGATGACTAATTTTTGTCTGTTTGTCTGTCAGGTAGAGTTTTGAAGAATATTAAACAGGTTTTTTTTTCTTTTTAATCGATAAATTGAATTGAAATGTTTCATGATGTTACATTTTTGTACATTTTCTACATAATTGGGATGTAGCAAGCTCCTGCTCTTCAATTGTAATGCCCATTATCTAAGCCATTTCTTATTAATATAAAGCAAAAAATATATGTTTATCTTATATTTTTCTGTTATGTAACAGACTGACTAAATAAATTTCTTTTTTTACCGTCATCATCTCTATAAGTATAATAATTAGTTTTACCTTTATTCTGGGCATTGTAACAGTTGGCGGTTCAGCTATGGATACATATATGCAAGCTGATTTGTTCTTCAATAGCTCTGCAGTGTATGGCATGTATTCATCAGTAACAAAATCATAACGTAAACTGTCTATCACCATCAAAACAACACTGTGCTCGCCGGAGTTGTATACTGTCTGGCCATCAATACTGAAAATATTTTTTTTTTAGTTTTGAATATATTTTTAATTTAGACTCTATTTTAAAGAAGAATCTATTAATTATGGGATCTGTAGTCGACTACGGACAAGTTTAGAAATTTTGCTTAATTAACTATTAAAAACTGAATAACTGTTTTTATTGGTTCTAAGTGTTAATATTTTAGCTCAAAAATATTAATTAGGTGCTTACACTAACCTGACGCCATCAATAAAGTTTGGTAAATCATCCATATGTGCCAACTTTCCTGTATGATACTTTAGTGGAAAAAATCCATACAAGAACAATATTAATGCACCAAGGGCCATGATAAGTAAACATAATGGTGTCCACCGATTCCGAATCCACGATAACATGGTAAAATTACTAAAACGAATGCTTATCACGAGAGGATCGTACAATAAATGAAGGACGTGCAGTGTCTGTTTTCCTATTTGCAATAATCACATACACAATGTTTCCTGTGTTCCAATCGACTGGTTGATATTAAGCAACAATTAGTCAACGTTTTCAGGCACTACTCTTTTATAAGATACGGTAATTAACCACCGGTTATCTACAATAGATATACGATAGTAAAAAGACATCATTAACGAAACACTTCCGTCATTTTCATTTATATATTAAATGAGATGATTGGTTTTGCATTGCATTACAGTAGTAAGAATCAATTGATCATTTTATAAGAAAAATATTTGAATTGGTAAAAGTAAACATTACAAATCGGCAACACACGAATACGGCACGGTTAATTGTCATTTGTCAATTGTTACTGTCACATTTGAGTGACAGTAACTTTTTTAGACTTTATTAGTAAAGGCGTCTAATCCATGCCTACCTAGTATGTATTAGAAAATATTGTTTATTTTTAGTAGAATTTGAAGTTTTTGTGGCCAGTCAAGATACATAGCTTTGCCCTGCGATTCTGTAAAAATCTAAACCCGAATTCGAATTTACTTCAAAAAGAGGCTGCCGCTCAATCTTGAATTGGTAATAACGTTTCGTGGCATAAGTGAAGTTTCGAAATAATATAGAAATAGTATATCTGAGACATGTATAATCAATCAATTTTATTTTGTATTTTTATACAAAAATGGAATCAAAAGAATTTCTTCCTTAAATGATGTGAATTCGGACACATTTTTTACAGAATCACCTGCTGGACTTCTCATGAAAGAGGAAATTCAAATTTCAAATCGATTTATGAGGTGAAATAATTTTCCAACTACAAAGTAAAAATCTTTCCGTTGGAGCATAATGCTTTCTTCTTCTTCTTCTTTTAACTTAATCGTCTTATGACTCGTATTAGCAGTTGAAATTGTCACATATTGTGTATTTCTGTTACTGCTATAAAAATAAAAACTTAAAACAGAATAAAATAAATATTTAAGGGAGCTCCCCATACAACAAACTAGTTTTATTTGCCATTTCTATACTAATATGTAATTAAATTTTGCCATTTTTATAGATAAGACAACTAGGAAAAACTTAAGGATTCTCACGATAATTTAAAAAAGTAAACAGGTTGAAGAGAATCCACTATAAATTGAAGTATGAAAGGCGTTGAATGCAAACGTATAAATAACGAGTGTGTCACGAAGTAAATATAGTTTTCTATTTCGATCAATGTTATTATCATCATGACATGCTCTATTTGTGTTAATGTAAGAAGTACCGAATTAATATTTTTGTGGCAAAGATTACTTGTCCGTACGTTCAATAAGTTTCATCATACTAATATATACATTTCTGGGCCACAGGCCTCCATAAGGAAGGAGTCGATTAGGAATTAGCACGTTTAAGAATCCAATTAATTGGAATTTCTAGTTCTGTGTCAGTTTTATTAAATGAGATAAGTAAAGTTATTAATTGTTAAAAGGATTTGCTCAATTTATAATAATGTTTGTAGAGATATAAGTCTCTGTAGCAGACGGCCTTCAATGATTCTAGGATCACGGGGGTACACTTTAACAAGTTCTTCTATTTGGCAAAGAATTTTTATTAAACCTATGTATATCCAACTAAATCACGTTTGGGCAATAAGGATATACCTATATATATTTAATATTTTAACTAAAATCTAAAGATAAAATTATCCCTACTAATTACTAGATCATATTTTCTGAATCTATTATTGATAGCGACACCCAAAGATCAACGTTTTCATACCTATCTATGGTCTATTAAGTGCATACCTATCAAATATAAACATTGTAAACGTATGTCGGATACAAATGACGACTTTTATCTATTTTCATATCGGTAATATATATAATTTAAGATTTTTGATGTCTGCCCTGCGATTCTGTAAAAATGCAATCTCGAATTCGAATTAACTCAGGTGTCGGAATTTACTTCAAAAAGAGGCATCCGCCAAATCTTGAATTGGTAATAACATTTCGTGGCATGAGTAAAGTGAGTTTCGTAATGACATAGAAATGGAATATCTGAGACGTATATTTAATCAATTTTGTTTTGTATCGTTATAGAAAAAATAGAATTTTTACACTCGATGACATGAATTCAGGCACCTGAGTGAATTCATGTTACAGAATCGCAGGGCAGTTCTAAAATATAATGAAGACTCACTAGTAACGATACCTGATGTCTTTAAATTGTTCTCGAAATACACCCACCTGAACTCAATGAATAAATAAACAAAAATAATTATCGGATTGTTTCAGTCTGAAAACATGACTATTACGTAGAATGACCATGATTCTGTCGAAATTTAGGATTCTTATTTCATTTATTTTGACATCAAATCAAATAATGTTTTTTGAATAATAATTCGATAATTCTCTCCGCGTTAAATAACCCGAATTGTGTTTGTTGAGTACGATTAAGCGTCCAAAACTATTTTCGGCGGTTGCCAAGCAAGATGACGACGGACTTCGTACAATATCTCTTTGTTAATTGCTCAAAAAGACAAACCACATAACATCGGAGAAGAGTTAATTTTGCCAGCAATAAAGGAAGTAATAACTACTTTGTCTCATAAACCGGCTGCAGTCAAATTGATGAAATGACAGAAAACATTAAAGGATCTCTTTGAATTATAGATTATTTCATCAGCTTTGTGTTACTGATGACGAGGATTTTAGCCGTTTGTTGTTTCGTTTTGGCTATCAAGAGGCATTTGTCTGACTCGATTTTACATCCTGTTTAACTCTGTGATAGAGTTCTAGGAACTAAAGACACAGAATTGCACAGCAAGCTCATTAGATGAAAGAATGATATAGCTTACATATCAGACCTGTATAAATTGTTCAACGACATGATTGTTCAACTACAAGGCGATGAACTAAATTTAATTAAAAGTAGTAACGACGATTTATTTGCCTACTGCCAACATTTAGAAAACCTCCATATTGACTTCACCAAACGATATCAGGTCATTTTGAACTTGGAAATTCCAGACTAGGTGTTTGATCCGTTTACAAATGTTAACACAGAAATGTCACTTCAGCTGGAAGAAGAATTTATAGAATTGACCACAATCCCATCCCAAACTCAATGAATAAATAATCATAAATCGGCTGCAGTCAGTGCATGAAATAAATATCAAGTTCAAAAATGGTTATCAAGAATCTTGGCTATAAAACACCGACTCCGCAATTGTACTTTGTATTGTGATCAATCGTTCAACGCTTCTTGATAGCATTCTCATTGTCATATTTGTGTGAACACTGATTTAGGACTACGGCAACACCGCTTACTGAAAAGCGAAATCGTTTGTATGTTACCGAACGTGGTGTCTTGCGACTGTTATTGAGTAAATTGGATCCTGATATCAACTGATTTATTAATCAACATCAGATTCATCCTTCACATTAGCTTTTATGTAAGAATCAATTATGTTTGTTTTATTTTGAATAAAAGATATTCTGTTTGAATACTATAAAGATGCGTTTCAATAATAATTTTCATTGGGTGTAGTCTGTAAGAGTTAACTTGAGACCTGAGCGCCGTTGTGTATTACCTACTGCAATCAGGTTGCAAGTTAACTCTTGCGTCTTATAGTAAAAGTCTCATTTAAAATTAATGTTTAGTCTCCCCTAATATAGCTTATAATAATGAATTAATTTAATTTGAAGTTATAGTGGTTTTTAAGTAGGTGAAAAAATGGGGACCCTAAAAAAAATATTCTCAAAATGGGCACCCCCGATTTAGGGGTTGTGTTAATAACTTTGTCAGTGATATAACTTTAAATATATATAATTGCTTCACAGGTATAAAAGTGCATTATCTGACATTCACTGTGTTTTTTATTATTTTAACGCAGCGGTGAAATGTCACTATACTCCATTCTTTATAGCATTAGACAGAAGTTAAATAAGGTACTTTTTATGGTATACTTAGTGACAAAATATCAATAATCATCTTACTCTTAAGATTGACGGCTAATTTGCTACATATTCACTTAAATACCAGCTGTTATACTTAACTGTTGTCATTTAAGCTATCTTTTAAACAAATTTATGAGTATTTGACTAACTTAAATGATTTAATAACTATTACAATAAAAAGTGTTCATCTTAAAGAACCTAAAGAAGCAGGGTTGGATAGTTTCGGCACGATTCTCATGTCACTATAACTCTACTAAATTTAAAACGTTGCGTAATCCCTTCAAACGTTTCTGCTGTACAGCTTTTTAATTTTGTCAGACTATTATTTATTAATAATTGTTAAAATCGTTATCTGGGATTGTCATCCATTGTGAATGCTACTGCCTCTCTTGTTGTTTTGCTGATATCCGTGATTAAGTTGTTATTGTTTTATTAGTTTTGTTTTTGTTGTTAAGTTTTGTTAAATATGGACGATGCCGCCGAATTATATACACTTACTTAGATGGTTTTAGTTCCATGTTGGCTTGAGAGTAAAAGATGAATTTAGAAAATGCTGACCTTAGAAAATCATCTCAACCCCGAGGTATCGTAAAAAATGGAAAATTGCCCACCTTTTTCAGACTACAAACGTTCAAAGTTTCAACAAAACTATAATATATATTTTTTTAAATTTATCTTCAAAATAAAATGTTCTGCACTGCTGCTTCTATGACCCTCTTTTTTCTAATGTTATAATGAATGGAGTATAAATAACATTTAACCGCTGCGTTAAAAAAAATATGAACTCAGGTGGATGTTATTGGGAGAGATATCTACTCTCTTTCGAGTCCTCCTACTTTCGACACCCGTACCAGTGTTTACTAAGGCACCACTCACTTATACCTGTTCTCATTGTATCTGATGGCAAAAAGTCATTTTTCTGACTTTTCTGTTTAATTTCGTATTATAATATTAAGATGACGAACAGCGCCGAAATATCGGGAATTCGATAAAAATAAGACAATTGTTAGCAATCCTGTAGATGACTATCATTCTAATGTTAATGACCATGAAAGTTTGATAGAAGAATCTATTTAGGGATTTCAAATAGCTACGAAAAACGGCCTTTGTGTTTTACTCGTGCAGATTTCAATCCTTTGTATCTAAAAAGTTTGGCTACCATGCTACGTACAAGTTCAAGGTGTGCTCTAGTGGAGTCAGCAGTGTGGGCAGGCCAATTTCTATTTAAAACACCCGCTTTGCTCTCGTTCCTCAGTCCGTGGACAAACGCAGTGCGCGCGCCTGCAACGAATACTGCAAAGGTATAACAAACCTTTTTGGCATTTGGCTATTATTTTGTTTTACATGTTTATTGTTTTGAAAACATTTTTTTCAAATTAATAATTAGTAGTGTTCATAATATCATGTTTATTTTAATACTTTTATGCCCCTAATAATAAATAATAGTTGATCCTTAAATAAGTTTTTATTTAATTAATTTATTAAAGTGAATTTATTAATTGATGGTTAAATTTGTCTTTTTATATACTTAAATTACTTTTGCAGCATAACAATATTTTTGAACAACACATCGATATAATTTTTTAATATTTGCGTCCACTAATTACAATTATATTCCCGTCTAAATATACTCTTTTTTATTACATTAGTTCAGACAATCGATGTCCCTAGTTTTATTGGCGTAAAGAATTCGTTTTGCGTTGCATCACATCACATCTAAAACGGTCCAGGTGATTCACTCGTGGATTCGTTCCAGAATAATATTTGGGAACATAGTAAACGATAGCGGCATAAATAGGTTTGTTATTGTAAAAATTATGCACTCGGCGACTAAGGTTGTAAAACAAAATTTAATAAAGTATAACTCAAATTTTCCGCCAAAAATATTTTTATGTAAAACGTTACTAAGACCATATGGCTCCCAGTGTTAAAAAGTTTAGATCTCATGTAGTGTCAAGCTTCTAATTCTACAAGTCTTAACTTTAAAAACTCTATTGTGCCTACCTACACCTTAATTAAAATGTGTGGCTTTGCTTGTCAGTTTGCTACCATCATTCATCATTGACATACGCGTCAATTTGCCACTTTCCTGTTCATTACTTTTCTATTAGAAGTATAATACAGTTCTTTGGTTTTACTAAGTGAATATTTGACTATTTATGTTCGGGTACTACCCTGACGAATCTGTAGATTCTGCAAATAAGTACATATATACTAGTAAAATTTAAATATTTTCAATTTTAATTTTTATATATATCATTATATTTATCTTAAATCGCAATAGACGAAACGACGACGCATTTTATTTATACATTCTTAACATCAACTTTGGTAAAATCCTATACGTCTTTCATAATTTAAAGTACAAATTATAAGTAGTATTGAAATTCATAAGTAATTACAAAGTCGTTCGTCAAATGTAACATTGTTTACATGGTTAGCTGTCTGGAATTTTGGTTTATTGCCAATTTATTATTCTATAGTCTCCGATTTAGTCAATTTAGCATTTGTTATTTTTCAGTAACTCTTAACTATCAGTTGCACAAAAGTCTATTAAAATTGTCATTAGTTTAAAGCGACATTACCCATACAAATTGGACATTCATTAGAGCTTAAAGGCGTCATTAAACCTTAATGGAGGTTTGTGCAACTGACCGTAAGTCTATTGTTTTCTTAATTACCTGGCCATAAAACACGTTTAACACGTTATTCAGACAAAAAACAAATATTATTATTTTTTATTTTACATGTATATAGGGTTGATTCGATTCTAATTAACTTACACCCGGTTTCTGAATTGAGAATTTAAAGTCAAGCACGTCTCAAACCATAATTAAGCCATCTTAAAAAAAATATGATCAGTTGACAGCAGTTTGATAAAATTAAAAACTTTTTGCCATGTGAAACGTAACTTAAGTTATTGAGAATAATCAGTTGAGATTTTGTACTGTTTTCAATTAAAAAACCGACCGTTAGGATCTCTTTCGACCATTTAGTTTGAGTGACATTTTCTAAATTCTACATCAGAAAAAATTAGGCTTTCGTAATTTGTATCTACCTTTTTCGGTTTTGTCATCATTACTATGGTAAGCCTATTACTGTTGGATTTTGTTCATCACTATAACGTAGACCTATCACATACGGATTGGTGGTTGCTAACGACTGCAGATGTAATTAGGACCAACAGCTTTACTTTTTCAATATATATCCTTGACCTCTCATTGTGACACTATTCCTTTCGACAGTTGCAAACTGAATGCGCGAAAAACTCTGCCATGGAGTGACCCGTTTATTATTATGTGTAAACTAGAAAGTAGCCATTATTAACATTGTATTCGTTTACATTACAGATGTCGATAGTTCCCATGATGTTTCGTGATTGGTGGGACGACTTCGAGAGGCCTTCCCGGCTGCTGGACCAGCATTTTGGCATGGGCCTGCGACGGGACGACTTGCTTTCCTCCTTATCTACCTTGCCTTCCACTTCGCTATTCAGGAATTCCTACTTCAGACCTTGGAGAACGAGTCTGGCAAGACAGGAATCTTCTTCAACTATTAATCTTACCAAGGAAAAGTTTGAGGTGGGTTTTCATATATTCTATAGCATGGAACATAATAGTAGAAAAATATATTGTTATAGTTTTATTTTTCGCAGTAGAGTGTGCTGAACGTGGTGCTGTTATCATCAACAGCCTATTAACGTCCTTACTTTTGAGGGCCTTTCGTGTAAATGGAAACAAAAAGGCAGAAGTCACTGTAGTGACTTGGAATATTTTAAATCATTTTATATGATTTCAGTAATAAAATCTTTATTATCACAATGAAGTAAAATAACATATTCAATTCTAAAGGGAGTTGTACCTATTAGTGAACTTATTTTAGGAATTTTCTGTAAAATTATCAATTTCAATGTAATATTTGAATAAATAAATATTTGACAGCATCACGTTTAGTGACGCATTCTCATTAAAGCCCCTGTGTTATGGAAATCATAAACAAAAAAGGTACCACAACCAAAATAACTATGTATATAATATTATAAATATTTTTTTTATAATAACCCGGACGGTAACCGAATGTGGAAATTCAGAATAACGCCACGCATCCGTTACAAAGACTTGTGCGAGAGCATAGCAAAAATAATAATAATACAATATTTTTTCTCAAATTCCAGGTTATCCTAGACGTCCAACAATTCGCTCCTGAAGAGATTACAGTGAAAGCATCAAACAACTCGGTGCTGGTTGAAGGAAAGCACGAGGAGAAACAAGATGAGCACGGATTCATTTCACGTCAATTTACACGCAGATATATCCTGCCAACCGGTTACGAAGTTGCTGACCTTGTGAGCACATTATCTTCTGATGGAGTCCTTACCATTACCGCTCCTAGGCGTCCACCTCCTCAAGCGGGAGAAAGGATCGTCCCGATCACAAAAACTGGGCCAGCGAAGCAACCCGAAGCCCCGAAACCCGAGCCTCCTAAAGAGCAAACGGTCCCAATTGTCACCTCACCCTAAGATAAAAGTTATAGGCCGGACAGACTTACGCTGAGAAATTCCGAGAACACCCGAGACTCGTATGATGTTTCTCGCCTTCTCATTTCTTTATAGTTCTTCTCGCCAAAAAGGCTCGGCGAGACTTCTCGGCTCTAGTCTGTATCGCCGCCACAAACTAGTAAGGAGATATTAGTTTTCTGCTGACGATTCAATAATGCGATTTTCAATAGGATACAGATCGGTTGTTCAAAAATGATAATAGATGGCGTTACTGTGATTTAATATATATATGGTTCTATCAAAAACTTTTTTAAATTTGATAGTCATCTTGTTACATCTTTAAATGTGTTAGCAGAAAGGTGATATTAAAACTATCGATACATCACGATCGAAGCATAAATAGCATTTATTTTAGCCTATCGTTGGCCAACGATGAGTGACGATTCGAAATGAACGAATTAGGTTTATTAAGAGAAATGCAAATTTAACACCGTTACTCATGGTAATTATTTAATGTAATATAAAATAAATAAACATGTTTTTGTGACACTCCTTTTTTTGTTTATTACCTTATTGGAACCTAGAGGTATATCTAGAGTTGTTTCTGACTCAAACTTTTGAATTGTTTGACAGAAAGACTTTTTTGGTGAAAGTAAAACGAAAACAATACTTGAAATTTTAATCAGAATGCTGCTTTCTACAGTTTATTCAGATTCATGTAACTAAGTAAATCTTCTCTGAAGATAATCTTGTAAAAAATAAGTTCGAAGAATACGGCTTCCACTAGGATACTATATTTATCAATATTGCAATGAATTCAAAATCGTTATTTGAACCGAACCAGAGAAATGAAAAAGTTTGTCTTGAGTTTAGAAACCAAACGAAAAAGAACAATATTTTTTTATTTATTGAGAAATAACTTCAATATAAAAATATTGTATTTTTTCAGTCGGTTTTATTTTTGCTTGAATAGATTGATATTATTATCTTTAATGATAGGCATATAAAATAAAAAATTATAATGGAAAGCAATTTTTTTTGATGATAAAATGCATTACTTTTTTACTGGCTATTTAGTTAAAATATTCATTGCTAAGTGTAATGTAGCTCTTAGTGTGGAAAAAAGGGAGAATCAAAAAATAAAAAAAAAAAGTTTTTGTGGCTGCTCGGTTCCGAACCGCGGACTTCCGTGGCGAAGTGAACAAAACTGCCCGTGCCGCGCAGCACTACTACTTAATGACAAATTTAAGTATCAGTACGACACATATACGTTGATTGTCGCAAGGTGAATGACCGAGCTACTTTCAAGGTCGAAGCACAGTTGATTTGCACAAAATAACTGTCAAATGAAGAAACGAAATCAAAATTTGCTGTACGAACACTTCACACACAGAATAATTATTTACACTCCTTTAAAGCTCGCATTTAGACGAATAAAATGATATATTATAGTACAATATCCAACAATTACTATCCAACAATAAATGAAATGAATACGGAGCCCAAGTAAACACGTCAGGACACAGTTACCGCGCCCCGCGCACGTAAATAAAAATAATACGCAAATAAAAATAGACGTCCGTTATCATTTGAATATTAACATGTTCAGTATTATGCAGCTTTTGTTTTCAAACTAAGATTATATTATGTTTCCATTCATTCACACCTTAACGCAGGACACGAGGTTACTAAGAAACACTTATGCGTTCATGACCGCAAGCGTACATTAATGCTTAGCAAACTCGAAATGCCGCAGAACGCAATAAGAAAACGGGCCGCAACACTTAACTACAAATAAGGAGTAATTCCTAATGCTAGTTAATGTTAAGGTCAACCCTATTTAAAGGAGAAAAGAATATATTTTGTCTAAATAATATTTATAAAATAATCGTATACCAATATGTAAAGATTGCCGTATTGCCTGAAAAAGAGCATTAAAAACATAATTTTAATACTATTGAATTTATAAAAAAAAAAAAAAAAAATTTCAACGACTTCAAATAAAATCCACATTTGTATTTCGATTTTAATGAAGATAAAAATTTGTGGTATTTTTTCTTTTTTTTCAGTTATTTTTCTTTATTACGATTTTTTGAAGTAGGTTTATTTTTTTTTAATATTTTTTTTTAATAGCAGTTATCACCGATCCATAAAAAATACTTATATAATACATGGCCACCTTCGTATAAGTGTATTTACCGGAACACACTATATTTATCGTATAAATATTTCAATTGATAGTAGCAGTTCTAACCTAACTTAACCTACTTATTCTGATAACAGTTTGTTTTTAAGCAATTTAATAAGTTTTTTCTTATATTGTTTCCGAAGTTGAAAAAAGTTAATCAAACAAAAAAAGTCAATCCAATGTCTGATTTACGAGAAATACGTGGACAAAATTGTAATAGTCTATATCTCTTAAAACTACTCAAAAGAATTATTGCAATCCGATGTCTTGTCTGCGAGCTTTTCGTGAACAAACATACTGACATAGATATATCTTTAAAATTTTGCACACGTGTTTAGAAGCCCATACAGACCAAGACATATTCATAAATATTACGCCATTCCAACGATTTTACATATTATCTATTCGAGGTGTATGTATCACCTCGAATAGATAATATTTTTTAAGTTGGTTAAAAATACCTCATATGCAAACCAGTTAAGCTAAAAACTCTACAAAGTGACATATATTTTAATTTTCCCATAAAAAATTGAACAACTACGGAAGGAAATAAAATAAATTGAATATATTTCATTTCCTCCCTGTCGGGAATTTGGATCTATTTCTTTGTCAATTTATAATTAGGGGTTTCCTTTAAGCGCTCTCTTAAGATTACTTATTTTATAAGAAATGTTTAAAACTTCGGCACCAGTCGGACTATAGTATATTAAAATCAGTAACGCTTTGATCAGTGCCGATTAGTCTATTTAAAAAAAGCAATTGTTGAGAGCCACGGTGGGCAACAGCCAGAACCAGCCCACGGGCCGGAACCAGCCCGCGAGACATTTTGAACATCTTAATTTATAATAACATTGTCGTAGTATTTCATGTCTGATATTTATTGCAAAAAATATGAGCACTACAACACTACTTTCAAATGTACTACTTTTATACGTAGCCCGCGAACGTATATGCACACTAAAGTTTGGCCCATAACATGTCCAAGGTTGCCCATACCTGGCTTAGAGCATCATTTCTAGAGATACAAGAAACCACCAGAAGTAATAATTGGTAGCACAAAGTAAGGCTGTTTGTAAATCCGCGCGTTTATTAGGTAAACCATGTATCTTTAGTCATATCTTAAAGTACACAATGATCTATCTTGTAGTGTTAAATATTTTTTTTTAAATGAAGATAGAAGTTTGCTTGGGGAAGTTATGCATCTGAGTGGTTTGCTTAGGGCATCAAGAAATCTTAATTCGGCGATGGCTTTGAACGTGGTCAAGAGTTTTGAGTGAGATCCAGCAAGTTTCTTACTTTACGCTCTCTAGAGGGCGCCAATTTAATGAAACGTCATATAGCATGCGAACAACTAAGACGCTTCTAATGATACCTCATTTGTCGAGTTATCATGAGTAGTTTCGAAGTTATAAGCGAACAGATGAACATTCTTATATACATACCGGATAAAATCATAACCCTCCTTTTCGCTTCGCCGTAGTCGGGTAATAAACACGTTTACATACTACTATATGCTAGTCAGTTACAAAGCCTCAAACTCGACGTTGGTCTCTCAAAGAGCTAGTTTGTTAGTTTTGTTAGCTTCATGCTCTAGCATTCTTTTTTAATCATTTAGTGAAAACGAAAGCACGTTGTAAGTGTTTAAGCAGAAAGGACATCAACGAACAAGAATTTATATTATCCACGAATTTTCTTCTCAGTTTTTGCGAATGCAGACAAAACAACGAAAAAATGCTCTAAGAGCTTTTATATTAAAACTAGCTTTAGCCCTCGACTTCGTCCGCGTGGTATTTACTTTGGGCTGCATATATTTTCCAAAGACGTTGTTTTGCGAGCTGATGATGAAATTACCTTGATGTTTAAGTTCGAAGATACTAAAACAAAAAAAACAACAAATATCCAATATGTTTTAGCACTTTATCTTTGAGAACTTTAGATATATTTATCCAATCCAATCCAATCCAATCCAATTTTGAAATACATATGGCAAAAACAATTGTGAAGTTAACACAAAACTAAATAGAAAACGTAATCTACGCAAAATTCCTTGAAAGAAATGTTAACGCAAATTGCTTTAGAATGAACGCCATCTTGTATAGAAAAGCTTAAATTTCTTACTACATTTTTTAAAACTCAATCTTGAGCAAAACAGATGTAGAATACTTAACGCCATCTAGTATAGTTCAAAATATATATAATTAATTTTTCTTTCGTAAACTTAATTATTTCCATTGAACTGATCTTGAAGAGCTGACTTGAGAGCATGCCACGTAAAATTGCCCATGTAAAAAACAGTGTTTCCTCAAGTCAACTCCAGCGTATTTTAAAGATTGTCTTAGCGACTTATTGATAGTTATTGCAAAACAAACCTTTTGAATTTAAATGGCAGAACATTCAGTATTAGGGGGACGCGCATATAAATACAGTCTCACCTCGTGACCTAAAGCAGTGAATCATATTGGAACTTAAGTTCAGTTCATATCTCAAAAACTTTAATATTCTCCTATATATTTTTATCATCCTCTGGAGCTAGGTGACAATCCTGTCTTTAACATAATCTGCGACATATCTAAAAAACTATAGAAATAGCTATTGCTGCTGCACCTTCGCACTGCACTCCTACATTTACCTCACTAAACTAAATCAAGTAATTGTTCTCCGTTGCCAGTCACCCTACTTTCTTTAATTTGTTGTATGACCTAAAAATTCAAATAAATAACATATTACAAAAACAATGCCACACCGGCGCCTCTTACTGAGACTTACGTAACTATTTTACATTATGATAACTTATTCTAGGCCACATCATGAAGAAATTAATTACTGATGAAACGAAAACCAAAAATAATTGCAAATTTTTTTAATTTTTTAAAGCTTGCGCAAAGTTCTTTGATCAAAATAATAGCGCAATTTAGATTATACTCGCTGGTTGAAAAGTTATTCTAGGTAAATTTTCTAGCAAAAAAGAATCTGCGATTTAGAATTCATTTAACGCCATTGAGTGTAGTTCATATATTTATAATATAAAAATATTTTTTCGTTTGTAAACAAATTTACTTGAATTTGAACATTTTTATCCATTAAAATTTTCAAAAAATGTAATATTTTCTCAAATATCAATTTTCGGCGCTATACAATAAAACATTATGTAAATAATATTATGGAAATTTATTACAATGGCAAATCAGATTGTAAACAATGGTTGCTATGGTAACAGTTTGATTGCCCTTTAAATCTTTCATTCTCATTTTTTCCCCTTTGAGTGCTAGATTTCGGGTTAAATATAACCTATTACTTTCCCAGGGTCATAAACTACCCAAATACCAATTTGTTATCGACATAGGTCCATAAACAAAAAGTTTCATACAAACTCTTCCATCCTTTTTGACCCCCTTCGGGATGGAATTTCCAAAAATCCTTTCTTAGTACATCTCTACGTATTAATGGGAATGTTCCCTCCAAATTTCAAGTTTTTACGACCAGCGGTTTAGGCTGTGCATTGTCTATCAGTC